AATGTGCGAAAGCAAAACCCACTCACTTTAGTATTGTCAGCCCGTGCTCAGTGTTGTGTAGCTGTGTACAGAGTTTAACAAATTGAATACACCCGTGAAACGTAAACTGTTTTTGTAAACAGGGCACGAGCTCTGTTGTTGTTAATAGCCATTCTCTGTAAACATTTAAACTCTTATATAGGGAGTGTGGCACGCTATGTCTTAGATTTTTATGAAACTTGGCACACATTCCTATATTGATGTATGAAACTAAAATTCATAATAAAATGGTTGCTATGGTCAATGGTTACCATGGCAACCAACATACATTTTTCATGGCCTAAAAAATGCTAAATTTTGATGAAAAATGACCATTTTTGACAAATTAAAAGTCTTTAATACAACAAGATATTTACATGACTTCATCTTTTTGCCAAAATACATCATTTTTATAGTTCTTTAGATAATTTCTAGTATTTAAGTAACTTTACCTAATAGAAAAAATATCGCCTGTTTTTAGGCAGGATTTTTCTGGGAAAAAATTGTAGATTTTAGGCTCTTTTGAAAAGCCTGGTATAAAATTTTGCGGACATATGGGAAAAAATAAATACATTGCTTTGAAAGTCCATATATAGTTCTAATATAAACTGCAGAGAAACACTTGGTATTCATATTTTGTTTTCATGTTACCATGGTTACAAACTTATGCTTTTTTTTAAAGAATTCCAGACAAGGGCAATAGGTATCTACAATCAGTTTCCATATAAATACCTGAGTATTTTAAAATGGATTAAAACCAGATTTATTTATTTGGTACACAACAGCAAAAATAAAGAGAAAAATCAATTTTCATGACAAAAGGTCAAGGTCAAAAATAGCTCAATTTAGATGGAAATTTAAGGAAACTAAGCACATTTTTTTCTGTGTCCTAACTAATACTTTTGTTTTAAACAGCATGAATAAACAAAATTTACAGTTCTGGTGGACAATAACTACATGTGGCATCACATGAATTGGTAAATACGGACAGAAGGTCAAAGTTCAAGGTCACAATGGTATATCAAAATTGCCTTTTTGTCCCCCGCTTTCACTGAAAGTGGGGGATATTGATTTGGGTCTGTCTGACCATCCATCAGTCTGTCTTTCTGTAACACTTTTGTTTTGGCCCGATGTCTCGAGAAGCCTTTGAGCCTTTGCAATGAAATTTTGCATAAAAAATCCCTGTGGCCTAGGTGTAACCGGAAGTAGAACTCTTTAATGAATAACTTAACAAAGTTAATAGCCAACTTGGCTTAAAGCAGTAAACTGCCTCCAGTTATGATTGTCAACCCAGGTAAGGGGATATCTGAACTATGATCAATGCTAAATGAAAACACAGTTGTAAGTTTTATAAATTTAATAAAGTGAGAATTAACCTTTGTAAATGATAACAAATAATAAATAATGATCAAAATTTAACAAACAGAAAAGTCTTTGAAAATTGCACAGGATTAATAGGGCTTTATCAAAAATGTAATTTAATCTGGTAGGTGATTCACAATAATCTCAATGAATAATCTCAATAAATAAATAAGTAATTGAAAAATGTAATAGAAAATGGGAGGAATGTGGAAAAACTATGAAAAATAATTTATGTCCCTACTGGGCTTCCATACTTATGAAAGTTGTCAAAAATCCTATAAAATGAATGAATTAGAAAAGTGTAAAAGAATGAGCTACATCACCCAATATGACTACTATCAACACTCTAGAGTTGAACTGAAAATATCAATGCTAATTCTAGGTTCTAAAAATAAATGACCCAGAAAATAAACAACACCCAAAATAAATAATAAATAGTGGTTCTAGAAAATAAACCTGTTATCTACATATCCCCAGACCAGGCAGGACTTGGAAAGGGAAACTTAATTTACTTTAAATAACCTACATCCTAACCTATCATATAACTTTATTCTATAAAACCTACATCTAACCTATCATATAGTGCTCGCTCAGCACGTGCTAAATGAAACCTATAATGCCGTGTACCTTGAGGTTGGCATAAAAATCAGAGATAATGAGCCATGAGGCTTATCCCTAACCAAGTGAAGTAAACTGCTCGAACACGGGTTTAAATACCCTAGCAAGGTCCAAAATAAAAACCAATGACTATCAAAGATCCTAAAGCTAAGTTAACCAATCAGAACACAGCTATCAAAAGTACTACGGAAAGACTGCCAACATGGATGACACTTCCTGTTTAAAAAGTAAAACATGTGGAATGTCAACACATGTCCTAACTTATAACAGACACATAATAAAGGGGTTTTACGTAAGTAACAACTGAAAACAAATGATAAATAGAATAATCTGACTGAAATATCAGTAAATACTTGTAAAATATTATTTACGAAACGATGGCTATGAAATAAAAATCTAAATCACTACACTAGGGAAGACTCCCATTGATTTTAAGGTCAAAGGTCAAGGTCATGAATAAATAAATTCTGTTTAAACACTTTATTTCTGTGCGATATCTGGAGAAGCCTTCAAGCTTTTGCATCGAAATTTTAAAGCACAACTTCCTATGAACTAAAAAAGACCCCTATTGATTTCGTGGTCAAAAGGCCAAAGGTCATGTCAAAAATTTATACATTCTGTTTGTGTGTAAAACTTTCATTTCCGAGTGATATCTCAAAAAGATTTTAAGCTTTTGCAATGAAATTTTATATCATAACTCCCTATGGTCCCGCCCGCTCCTCTGAAAGTGTCCAGACCCCCACCCCCACCACCCCTCTAGATCTGTATATGCTCTTCTTTTTTCCTTAATTAAGCAGGGGACACAGATTCTCTGAATTAGCTTAATTGTTAGTATAGTATTTATACTTGGATATTGTGAAAGCGTATCTTGTTTTATAGACAATTTATTTTACTGAAACTGCATGGTAAATAAATTACATTCTCACCTTTAGCTTGATGCATAATGTGAAAATGCTATGAAAATGTTTTTTTAAGGTCATTTATTGATAAAAATGTAGCCAAGTCAAAATATTGAAAGCCTATACACTTACCATATTGAGTGACTGTACGTAGAGAATTGTGCTACATGCATGTAAAAACACTCTTTTGTTGTTTTTGTAAATGTAGCTAGACTTTAATTATTTAGGTAAAATCAAAAGCCTACTTTTCTCACATTATAATTCAGTTTTTTTTTCCACATTCATTTAAAAAAAAAAAAAACACTGGCTTTCCTGGCTGTTATTCATTGTAATATATCACGTATTCTGATTGAGACACTGTACCTCTTCTTACAACCAATTCAATATAATTCTGATATCTTAAGTTTATCTTTTTATCCCCATTTTGAAACTCCTAAGACCTTGAGACTTAGGCTTCAATATCATGAATGTGCACAGAGCTGATTTCTTGTACCATGTGGGCTTGTACCTTTCCCCATTGTTCACACATAAAAATTACTCTTTTGCATCCAGGAAATAAACAAAGAGGTTAAAATGTGTATGCACATTAAATAAACAGAAAAAAAAAAACACTTGATTTTACTTGAAATCCAGGATATATGTTGACAATGTAAACAACTTCCAGTCAGTTTTGTCCAATGATTTTTTAATCTCTCACACTAAAGAGCTCACAATTATCAAAGGGAGATAATTCAATTTTTAAATGAATGTCTGCTATTTTAATCATAGATTTCTCATATTTATAGACTGAATACCAACAATGTTTTTAAATGACTTTTAAAATCAGATGCCATACTTTTTATTTCTGTAAGTAACAAGAATTGAAGTAGCCGCATTTCATTGAATAACATTCCCAAAAATTGCATTTTTTCAGAAAAAATCAACTTTAGACACCGTTTCCATGGTAACTACTCAACATTCATATGATCTAACAATTTTTTTTTTGAGTAGTTTATGAGGTGGAAAATTCTAGCCAAATGTGAAAAAAATCTGTGACTATGCGTGCCACAGAAGTTTAAGTGGTTACAGAGAATGGCTATTAATCTTTACGTTTCACCGGGTGTGTTCAATTATTAAACTCTACACACACCACTGAGCACGGACTGACAATACTGGTGAAAGGATTTTGCTTTCTACATTTCTACTCTGAAATTTCTGCATTATAATTTTAATATTTTTCATTAATAAACAACAAAATTGCTACTTTTCTAAAGTAATAAGGATAAAGTTAAAATTTGTGAAAGTGCAAGGATGTGTCTATCAAACGCGTCCAGAAATTCGAAGTTTCAATAACTTCCAGATAAAATAAGATTTTTATCAAATTTTCGTATGGAATGCTATGGCAACTTATAGGTCAAGAAATTATACAGAAAATTTGAGTAAATATTAACTTCAAATCTGTGTCTAAGCACCTTAAAATAACCTTCTTTAATCTCATATGAAATCCTTTCTACTTTTGTAACATACAATAATATTTGTCAACAACAATCTGCAACTTAGCATGTATGCTGTCTGCTAACTTCAGAGAAAATGCATCTTCATTTGGTGAAATGTTGCAACCCCCCCCCCCCTTTTAATTTCAACAAGTTATTACTCAGGTCATGTAACTCACATGTTCAATCAACTTTTCTTTCCAGTATTTTTTTTTTTTAATTTCTTCTGCTTTCTATTTGCTTTAACCTGTGTATTAGAAGCAACTTTTTCTTTGAACTGAAACCAGCAATGTAAATTTTCCTTTTATTTATTTATTTTTTGCTCAATGTGACGTTGACAAAATGTTACCATTATTGGCTAATATCTGTCTTTCAGAGCCCTATCTCCCCACCCCAACCCCCATACTTAGAAACAGGTAGAATTTTAACATGATCAGTTGTATTTCTCAGCATTAGTAGACAACTCGCATAGTAGTGCATTAGGTTTCAGGTCATAATTCATTTGAGAATCTTCGACATAAGTAATCTATTAATGGCATGAGAAGAAAGAGAAAATATCTCAATATTACAGTTTTCTTTAAATTTGCAATACATGTAACGCAAATCAAGATCGAATACTGTAAAGTGTAAATCACTTTTGATTCAAACTTTATTTTCACAACATTACGTGAGACAGGGTGCTATTGAAAATATCATTCTCGCGTTTATCAGCATTCCTAAATAATTAAGATTATACAATGCACTAACCTCAATTCATGATAATTTTGTCTTGTTAATAAAGAGTAAATGTCTATCTCACAAAAATAAGGTGTTGTGAAAATTTAGTGATCTACAGTATAGGAAACATTGATTCTGGAAATATTTCAGCATTCCCAGCGAAGCTCTTAGAAATCATAAAAGCAAACTCTTTTACAGGATTCACAAATTTTAATTAAAGAAAAAAATGTAGGCCTACATGTATGCATTAAGTAGTATATTTTATATACTTCAAGAAAAAAGATAACTGCACAATAAAAACATTCTACTCATACAACCACAAAAGAAACTGGGTACAACATTATACAGTTTCTTACAAAAACTAAAATGTTTATGGGCCTTGATGGGACTTGCACTAAAGTTTATCTCCTTAAAAAGAATAAAATCTTTGTGCCTTTTAACAAAATTATGTTGAAATCAAAATTAATATTCAACCAATGACATGATACAGTTTTACTATAATAAAGCAAACACACTATTATTTTACTTAATTATAAATGTATACACCAGCTACATAAAACAACTGAACACAAATACTATTTATATACATGTACTTTGATCTGAAACTACATAAAACAACAATAAAAAGTATATACAAGCTATTTGGTATATTTCATTTATATCATAGCAGCTCCAATTTAAAATCAAGTAGTTCTAAAACAAAAGAGGTCTGTACTAGAAATCCCTCTATGTCAACACCACTATATATACTCTCAACAAAAATGAGAGAACCAATTTTTACCACATGAATGATCTACAGCATAAAACAGGTATTTCAACTGTTAAAATCTGATGAGAAAACGTGGATTCAGATTTGACATATTGCACATAACATTTGTGATCTTATAACACCAATATCTCTAAATTTTAAATATTTGACCGCAATTACATTGGATTATTCAGAACTCCTCACTGTTAATATTTCTACATTTTAACTACTTGTTGGAAATTATGTCAGATTGTTCAGAACTCCTCAGTTTTCATGCTCAGCTCTGGGACTCCGCCATGTAGGCATCGAGCTCAGCGTCTAGGTTACTCTTTGTTTTGGACATGTACGCATCTAACTGATTGTCCAGTTCCTCGGCCGTCATTCCTGATGACCCTCCGCGACCCCTCCCCCCTCTACCTCGACCCCCACGACCTCTCTGGAAGCGATTACCTCCCCTGTTGCCACGATTTCCTCTGCCACCTCTCCTAAAAAACAAAACATGAAATATAGTAAAGATTTTTTCATAAAAGTCTATTTCATGCATATATACATATATTTGCAATGGCATACAAATTTTGAAATTCAAAGTTTACTAAAAGTCATGACTGTCACCATACTTCAATTCATTAATCACAAGATGGTAATTAATCATAAGCTTGTAAAATATAAACACTACTTAAATAAAAGTTGGGTTTGCCCCACAAAAATAAGCATGACGACTGGCTATATAAAGAAGGCTACAAAAGCTACTACTCGATTTTTCATAAACATTTATTAAAATTTTTGAAATTTCAAAAGCTGAGGTTTGAAATTTTACAGGAAGCATAATAATTATGCACTGCTACTCTTCATAATAATGCTCAAATAAAAGCCTTACAATGTACCATTTAAAGGGCTTGAAACTAACACCCAAGCTATATTAGTGGCAACTGAGTGACATTTCCTGCAAATTAATTCCAATGTGACAGCATTGCCCAATCTTTTTAGAGCTTGTTTTGGAAAATGCCTTTGTCTAATCTTCATTCACACATTTGATATTTGAGATTTCACATATTATAATACTGTCCAGTACAAACCGACTTAAAGTCATGTTCAGTGATAGAACTCTAAACCATGGTGCAGAAATGCATGTACTGTGTATACTAGTATACATGTATGTTATTTCATCAAACTTCAAACATGGTAGATTTTTCTGTGGACTTGTTGAAATTATACCCTATCACGCCAGCTGACATAAAAAGTTAGCTTCAAGCTGGGTCAGCTGGCTTTTTCTTCTAATGGTGGAATGCTAGACTTTCATCTATTTTGTCAGCATGTAACATGCACAAATGTTAATCCCAATATTAATTAGTCTCTGGAAGGAATCCCTACCATTGCATAAGTGCTAATAAGAGTTAAAGAAAACAACAAATTCAGTGCATAATGGTCAACCCAGAAGTGTAATCCGGAGATTGATCTGTATTTTGAAACTAAAATCCAGTATAAATACAGAATTTCTGTAAGAATTAACAGCTCTGTTTAACATATTTATTGTTTTCTGGCTTTTATCATATATCAACTTAATCATTTTGCAAAATTTCATTTTTGCCAAAATTAAATATATATAGTGGTCATTCATGATGTAGAACTTTCTTGTCTTGCAAGCTTTATTCTTTCCTCTTAGTTGTTAATTTCTGCTTTGCAATATACAGTAGATATACAAGCACTTGATGCAATTTTGTTTTTTAAGATATTCGTTCTGACCATTTTCAAAAGAAATTGATAGGTATTCTTTTATTTGTAAATGCATTGATTGACACCTTTAGTAAATTCCAGTTGGAGATGGTTCCAGAATGGCTTTTACATTCTCAACACCAAAATTAAAGAATTCACATTGGAAAAAATAGTGTTGACATACTTTTTACCAATGGGTGATTATTCCACGGAATCACAATTTAGATCGCTACTGACAACAAAGTTGTCTTATATGTACTGGGACAAATTTCAGCTGAAAATCTGTGACCGCCTACATTGTGTCAATTAATACCACGTGGAAAAAAGTACTTCTACAGTAATTGTACATGTGTTATGTGACCTATATTTATTTTGTGGGGATAATGACAACAGGGAAAATTTACACATGTATTAACTTTGGAAAAAGAGTTACTTTTTAAAGATGGGAAGAAAACCTATGAACAACAATTCAAACTATTAACAGACAACCAGAAGTCTTATCTGACCAATTTCTGGGGCAAAATATGTTAAGCAACAAAAAAAAAAAAAAAAAAAAAAAATGTAACACATATAAAATCATCAACCCTTGTGCATCGGTTAAAATACACTGGAACTACTGAAACCAAAATAAAAATGGGTAAATCAAAATCTAAGTACTTTTGTCAATCTCAGAAATCAAAAGAAAAGAACTTGGGTAAATGTGAGCAACAAAAAACTATACAAGGGTTGCTTGCAACAATCTTCAGACTCACATGTTGTCATGGTTACCCCCTCTCCCACGTCCCCTTCTACTACAATGTTAATGTGCTACATGTAGGTTATTTATATATATACTTTTGCTTCTGTCTTATTTCTGTCTGAAATATATCTAAAATGTGACATTTTGTCATGAACAATCAAGCTATTCTATATTTCTTTCTTTTTAATAGCACATGTATAAAAGAGTATTTCTATTTTTCAACTTTTATTTTTCAGTTCTGTTTTCCTAAAAATATTAAATAAAATTTCCAGAACAAGCGAGAATTATGACTGTGTGCAATGTACAAAAATACAAGCAGCAATACATTAAATCACTCACGAGTTGTCATAGAAACCCCCTCGTCCACGACCCCTAAAAAATGGAGCATGGAGGAATTCATCGATATTCTCAACAATAATATAATGTGTCTCACTTATACAATGTATACAAACACAATTACACAAAGTCAGCATCTGAAGCTCTGTATAAGACTTACCCTCGGTCTCCGAATCCCCCTCTTCCCCTGCCTCGGCCCCTGAACAAAAATAAAACATAGGTCATTGGTCAATAACCCACCAATCAAACATTCAACACTGGATACTTAATTCGTTTTTATTCAACAGTGTTAAAATTTCACTATCTCTCAAAAAGTACCAATTGCGATGGTTTCAATTCACGATGCAAGAAATTAATTTCAATTTCGTATGAGCATTAAAATGTTTTTTAAAACTAATGATAGCTTTCACGATGGGTTTAATTTCGCGGTAAAATGAAAAATCGCGAAAATAGTTAAATTAAAACCATCGTGATTATTTTCCAATCTACAGTAGTTCAAAAAGCTAACAAGGGATCATTCCCTGATCAGTTTTCTAAATCAATATATGTGTAACTACCAGTACTAGTTGTTTAACTACTTGCCATTAATTGAGCCTTTGTCTCAGGTGAGCTAAAAATACAAGATCTTTACCTGAATCCACCTCTAGGACTTCCGAATCCTCCCCCTTGTTTGTTGGGCTGTCCAAATCCACCACGCCCACGTCCTGAAATAAACACAACAAACATAACATTCTACATGACTGTAAAAAGAATTCTTTGACAGAACCCTCTCTTTCCTAATTATTGTTTACTATTGACTAAATATGGTGTCAGTCTCTCTGAAAGACATCAAACTAAACCAATGTAAAGTGTCTCAGGTCCAATGTGTCATTGTTTACACTGAACCATACGATAATGTCTGATGTCTCAGTGTCTGGTTTTGATTTTAACTATTTTGACATTGAGTCATAAAAATGTTTCAACTTCATTTTATGAAAAAATATCGAAACAAATCTAAGTACATATAAGAGTGTGATTAAACCTGCATGGACCGTAAAATTTGCATGGTTCTGCATTTTCACGTGTTTCACCTTCTTATGATAGGTTTTTCTGTCTAATAAAATTTGGCATAGTCCTGTGTGTTCCTAGAGTCCGCAGAACAAATGTCCTGTCACTGACTGTGGTCCAAAAAATTTCATAAAAGCTGTGGTGTAAGTGTAAAGACTTCTTATAAAATCTTTTCAAAACAAATTTAATTAAATGATAATACACCGTGCCTGGAAAATGCAGGACAGTTGTGCTACCATTCATTTTTCAATAGAAATCAGGCCTAGTATAATGGCTTTTGCAACATTGAAAGTTATTAAATCATCTATAGCCACATAGGTGAAAATTCTCTTTAAAAATAACCTCTAGGACTCATTGCATCTCCACCCGGACCTCCTCTGGATCCACCCCTCTGTCCTCGTCCACCACCCCTCTGTCCTCTGTTGAATCCTCCACCTCCTCCACCACGACCCCGCCCTCTGACAGCGCTCAGATTCAACCTGGCTTTCACATTGGTCCTACCCAAACGCTGTTTCAAGCTGGTCTACAATTAGTTCCAAATGTTACTTATAATATTGAACACCTGCAGAAAAGGCTTAAATACACATCAAGAGAAGCTAAAAACTTTCTGCAAAACACTTTCTTGAAGTTGAGTCCACTTTTCACTGTAAAGAATATAGTCCCCAGACCAGGTCTCTTGATTTCTATAATGTAAACCAACTTTTAATCGCGTGCGAGAAAAATTCGCGAGTTTCGCGACCTACTTGAACTTGCGAATATTAATCGCTACGAATCATTTATTTTGCTTTGTTTTTGTAAAGAGTGTTTCCTCAGTCTCGAAAATTAATTGTCGCAAATTGATTTCAAACTGACAAATCGCGAATAAAAGATGAAGCAAATAATAGTTGGTTTACAGTAACTGAGGCCACTGAAGGGCCCCAATACTAATGATAAAGTTGTTTAACAAAACATCAGAAAACCAAAATGTGCTGAGTTCTTAAAAACTTTCATGTTCATTTCCCAACTTCTTAAATTGTCATTATTTTTCAAATTCTGACAGTCACAGCTCTAGCTTCTATACCAAAAAATGTAGTGCAGTGATTTTTTTTTGTTTTTCAAACCACCACCCCCTCCTTTTGAATTTGGAAAAATTAGCGACATTTTCCTCAAATTGGGAAAAATCATTTATGGTAAATTAGAATGCTAAAAAATACATAAAATATTCAAACTAAGTAACAGCAAAGTTTTTGTTTGATTTTTACTTTGAATTTGATTTAAATTCATAAAATAATTATTTAAAAAAATAACATCAATATTTTATTGAATCTGAATATGGCTTATATTAGTCACACCTTGTAGCTTCTATTTTCTTGGAATTGCTAAATGTCTAATTTCATTAAAAAAAAAAAAAAATAACGAGCATTTAGACTCAATCAAGTAAACTGTCTTATATTGATAATCAAGTCTACAGTCTTTACCGTTTGTTTTTTCCTGATTTTAGTGAAACCCTATGTGTTTCCTGATATTAGCCTGACCCTCTATGTAATAATGGCGGTCAAACTAAAATCACTATGTCAACATGCAACATGACTTGTATCTGGAAACTATTTACCATTCTACCACACTTATTGTCGAGATCAAAGAAATGCCGCGGACATTATTCTCCAATAAATCACGAACGTCATCAAAAAATTATCAGATCAGAAACACATGTCAAACCTGTACAGTTGAAATAAATATTTCACTGTAGAATCTAATACTTATTTAGACCATATCGATGTGTAGTCTTACGCAGTCTAAACAGTGTGTACTGCCTGAAACAGCTGATTAATATCCTTTTTATAGCCAAGTCGGGCAGTTCCACGGACCTCCCCACAACATTTACACTCCGTGATTTTACAGATGAAGCAATGAAATAGACAACTGATTTTGTTATTTTACATTCATAAAAATTAATCAATATATGTTACAAACAAATTTATAACTAATTAAAGGATATTTTTTAATCCAACGAAAGCTGAAACCGTCTGCATTTTATGCAATCGATACACAAGTAAACAAACAAATTGACTCTGGTGTTAAATGGAACAGCAAAATTTCGACATGGTGACCTAATTCGTTTCTCTATAGAGGAAACGATCAGCCGTATTTTAGAGCTGTTAGTAGAATAGAAATAAAGTCCTTGTTGTCGTGAATGATGCAGGATAACCTCCTCGGTCTCGAAATGTTGTCTGAAATATAAAAGCCTCGGCTCACGCCTCGGCTTTTATATTTCAGACAACATTTCTCGACCTCGGAGGTTATCCTGCAACATTCACGATAACTCGGACTTTATTTCTTAAATTCATTTAGGATATTATGAACTACTTATCTGCTTATATGGATATCTGCATTTTTTTTTACACATTCATTAAAAAATCGGCTGCATATGCATGGATTTGGAGAATAAATTTGAAGAATAAAAACGTATTTACTCTGTCAGCAAATTTAGCGACTTTTGTTCAAAATTAAAACATAATTTCCGTATGTTTGAAATTGAGAAAAAATATACTAATAATTGGGAAAAAAAATAGCTTATTTTTGTGAGGGGAGACAGCCGAATATCGGAATCATTTTGACCAAAAAAAAATCACTGTAGTGTTAGAGCCTTGAACACTCACCTTTTTGATTTTCAGAGCTGCCTGTACGGTAGGTCTGTTTGCCATTTGCTGTGCTAGCCTCCGGTTGGCTGAGGATGCCTGCTGGGCCTCCGCCATTCTGGCCCGGATAGCCTGGGGTGAGGACGGTGATGTCGGCGTCTTGACAATGTTGGTAAATCTTCGGGATTATAAGGAGAGGATGCATTAGTCTTACTAGGGCCAAAACCCATCACTGCAAGACTTTAATTTTTATTGACTTTTTCTCCATGCGTTTTGATAGGTTGGCTCATTACTGCAAAGCATATCAATTACGCACACAAGTTGTTCTTTATTCTTTGCTTTCTGCCCATGACTGCAAGGTAATCCAACATTCCTTTTTTTTTTTTTTTTTTTTTTTTTTTAAATCTTTTTTACCTTACTAGAGCAGTGCTAATGATAGCTTTTTTTTATTGTCACAATTGTGAACTGTGCTTTACTAGAGCCAACCATCCTGTAATATCTTATCAAAATATCATTATTTCATTATAAAGATTTGTTAAAATAGCATCATGCACTTATTTCAACACTAGAAAATAAAGCAGTAAACATTTAATACAAACCATATCTTTTTTGCATAAATCAACCCTTCCGATTTAAAGAATTTGCTATTTCAATAATTTCACAATTCAAAATTTTAATCCTTAGTTTCTGAAAGATGTGTGTCTCTAATGATTTCATTTTGTTTTCCATGCATGTTTAAACACCCTCCAAAAAAGGTGTGTTTATGTTCTGGAGAAAAAGTCTTGTGATCTACAATTAAAATAGGCTAGTCACTTCAACAAGTGACAATAAGCCCATCCTCTCCTAAACCATCCTGAGGGTTGTTCCTCCAGGGACGGTCCTCCTTACATGCTGTAGACCACCCCCTCACCAGGGTCTACAACTCTTCTCACCTGTCATTAAGCGACATCTTCGTTCCGCTTTTTAGTACAATTTTGGCTGGGACTGCCATGATGTAGCTATTCCACCTGAAAATTAAAAGAGGAATTCCAATGCATAATCTTTGATTTCTGAGGAGTTAGGTCCATTGAATGAAAAAATAAGCATTCTTTTTAATAAATGACACAGAATAAACTAATTAAAATATTGATGCCCAAAAATACCCAAACACTGACGTCTGCGACACAGAAAAGCGAAACAGGGAAGACAACTAAGAGAAGTATTTCGAGTGTGATGGAAACTAAGCAAAATCTAAATGACTGAATTTATGGCTTTAATCATTTTAATTTAAGAAATTAAGAAATGTAATTTTAATTGCAAAAATTTCCTTATATTTATAGCTTTTTTAAACTGCCAGCTCTTTATTCTAATCATATCATGAAATACCAACTATGTTTCTATCCAGATCAAGACAAATTTTGTTTAAAAATCTGTGCACATTTGTGCTATGTTGGGGACTTCGTTTATGCATGAAAAAATCTTAAATTATGTTGAAAATAGTTAGAAAGTAGCAAATGTTTGCAAACACTGATGTTTTAAAGACAAACTGAAAAAATAGTGTAAGCTATACTTCATACTCCAGTCGCCTGCGTAGCGCAGTGGTTAAAGCGTCTGCTCTAGAGTCGCGAAGTAAGGAGTTGATCCTTACGTCGCAGGTTCAAATCCCACTGTGGGACGTGAAGACAATTTCTTCAGATGAGACCGTATAAACCGAGGTCCCGTGTGGCAGTAGGTAGGAGTGAAACGGTTCACCGCGGTATCGATTCACCGCGGTATTTTTTCTCGGTTTGATACACGGTGCAAAATCTCTAGTTTTCGGTTCGGTTCATTTTTCGGTCGGGATCGTTATTCAGTCGGGTTTGGCATAAGGTAAAACACGTTAATCAGTATAAATAAGTATAGAAAACGTAAATTTTTGATGACTGATAGCTTGTAAAATAATTTTTGACAGTCAAATAATTTTAATCAATTTCTTCTAGTCAATTTGCAAATAAAATTCGTAAAATATGTGACTAGATTAAGAAAAAGAAAGCATAAAACAACGTTGAATTTGTTTCCTTCTATCAAAATGTATCGTATCGAAAATAACCGAACCGAGACAAAATTATACAATACGTATCGAACCGTGAAGGAGGTGTATCGTTTCACCCCTAGCAGTAGGTGCTGGCAAGAAAAAGATCCCTCACTGCTCAATGGCTGTAAGTGCCGAGTATAGGTCAAAATTTGTAGCTCTCCACCGGCAAGTGGTGGTGTCTCCATATGAGTGAAAAATTCTCGAGAGGGATGTTAAACAACATACAGAGAAACAAACTTCATACTCCATGTACATTTTCATCAAAATATTCTTATTAAATAATTTACATAAGAATATATCAGAAAGCAGTATTGCATAATTGCTACTTACCTAACCGTTAATTCTCAACTGTTGTTATAAGTAGGTCAGAATATTTAATTTAATATCATTGTTTACTTCACATAACAAATTCGAACGTTAATAAACACGAGTTATCTAACTTTGCAAAAAGTGGTAGCTACATGATGCTTTCCTTTTGAAGCCCACTTGAAAAAAAATCTAGAAATAGACAGTCATGATTTTGAATATATTATTTTTTAAGCATAATTGTGAAAGATGAAACAAGAGATTGCTATGCACGATTTGAACAGAGGTAATTCGAGCTAAGTTGTAATTTGATCTTGTAGGGGAGGATAAATTCTCCTTCCATAAAAGCTTATGAATAGGGGAATAAACCTACGTTTAATTATTTCACAAGAAAGTATATACTTTATGCTTACCAATAACTAGCACAATTTACACCGATGGTCGGTATGTATTTTGATATTTGTGGATTGTTTGCAGTTAGTATCCCGTTCTGTATGCAGTTTACGTTTTCGACACCGGTTCAAATGTTTACTTCCGTTTGCCCATGGGTAATTTTTTTTTTTCGTTGACCCAAAATAAAATGTGTTCAATTATATTTTTGGCTCATGAACAAAGGAAAAATATAGAAATCATATTCAAAATTTGAAATAATAAATCTACAAAGCATATCGATGAATATGGCAAGATTTCTTTATTATCCAAGGAAAATATTTCCATTTTTATCCGGTTTTAAAATTTGTTTATTTTTGGAAAAAATGGAACCATCCTTTAAGGTTTAAAAGGTATATTTGAAATTCTTAATTCAATAAGTTATACATCTTTTTATAAAATCTTTTATTTCTGATCATTTTTAAGAAAACTTTTATCAAAGAAAATGATTTTATGTCGCAACAATTTATACTTAACGTTTAGGAAGAAGTGTTGTTATAGCTAGACAAGTCTGTTCCAACCTAGCAACAGACGAATCCAAGTGCAAACACAAATACATTGGGAGCATATCGACTTATTATACTTGGAAGTTAAAATTCAAATATATAAGCAAAATGGTGAGTATTTAAGTAGTAATCAAACATTTTAATGGTGACTCTTTTATGGTATTATTCCTAAACGAATATTTTGCATTTAAAATGCCTTTTTATGGAATTATTTGCGAAAATGGGGTGCAACGTGAGATTTCTCCATGTTTGAACAAATTTCATTTCAACACAAACCTTTGCAGAATATACACCACATTCAAATCAAATGTTCAGATACTGCACTGTATTATCAGTGAGGATTTAATCCGATTATTCTCAAGCAATGCTTCAGCATGAAATTGAAGTTTTGATTCATTAATAACAGAAGCATGATAAGTTATCTAGATATATGTCAGTGTAAATAGTATAAACTTATTCTATCATGGAGATTAATTTGCACACTGCGTTTTTAGACAACAGTGCGTCGAGCCCTAACAGGAGGGGCAAGAGAGAGGCAGTTAGAAAATATGAGAAGACAAGAAGATTATCGGGAAGACACAATTCGTCGCTTACATGAGGAGAAACGACTCGAGGCAAATATGAGCAATGAGGAACGTATATCGGAGAAACGCTTTATCAGGCGAACCATGATGGAGCAGAAAGAGAGAGAAATGGAGGAGGCAATCCTAAAGGTTAAATCACTCAAATAAACTTCAAACCAAACTTTAAATGCATCAAATTCAATAAATACATTTGTGAAAAACAGTATCTTTGTATTTCTGTGTCTGTGGAGTATTGATTTAGATAATTGTTTACACTGTGTGATTTTCTTGCTCCTTTTTGAAAGCTTTGCTATAGAAATCCTAGGATAAGGTACAATAAACTTGTATTAGGTCACTCTCGGATCACTTGAATAAATGAATGCAGAAATTGTAAAATGTTCATTGCTAAATATTTTAGGCCCAAAGAGATCGCCTGATCAGAGAAGAACAAATGCTACACGAAGAAAGGCTGGCTGCAGAGCTGGAGAAACGGAAATTAGATTCCATTAGGGATGAGAAAATGAGACAACAGATCCGAGAAACAAGGTATTTTATTAAAATCATGTTTACTTAACATACATTTTAAGATGTAACAATTTGAAAAAGCCTTGAGAGGTTCTTTTCCAACACATTCATGTAGTAAGTGTCCATTTATTTTTTGCTTTTAAAATTTGAAATATAAAAGTTTCTATAACAGTATTTTTGATAATGAGAGAGAGAGAGAGAGAGCAATTTAGATTTTTTAAAAATTGAAAGAAATGTAGATCAATTACACATAAATATTTTTTCTTCTCATCAAAAGTTGTAAGGATAGTTGAAAAAAAAATGCATTCCAGTTAGTGTCAACTGTGTGGCACATTTGTAAAAAATTTTGGTGTTTACCCAGAAAAAAAAAATCATGTTATATTTCTTTTTTTACAAGTTTAAAGATATGAAAATGTTACATTAATGTTGCTTTCCTTTTTTGTACAGTCTAGAGTTGAGGGAGCTAGAGGCTAAGTTACGATCAGCTTATATGAACAAAGAAAGAACAGCCCAGATAGCAGAAAAAGAAGCCCTTAAGTTCGACAAAATGGTATTGTTTTTTTACAACTTACCTAATTTTGCAGAATTGTCAATATAACACTTGTATCAGAACATTCATAAAGAAGAATTCTTTTTATACCTAAAGTGTATCTATTTATCTGAATGTGTGCTTTCAGTCTTGTTCAGTGTATCTTTGAATTGTTGACTTATAAATATTGCTTTGTGTTGGTTATTATTTTTTTTTTAACATTTACTCCACCATATTTTAAAATCTTCTTAGAAACGGGATTCAGAGATTGCCCATGAAATGAAACTGCAACACGATCGTGCAGAAGAGGCCGAGAGACAGAGAGAGATCGAGAAATACCGAGAACAGATCCGCTATCAACAGGAACTGGAACGGCAGTTAGAGGAGCAGGAACAAAAGAAACAACAGGCCTACGAAGAGTTCCTCAAGGAGAAACTCATGATAGACGAGATCGTACGCAAGATCTACGAGGAGGATCAAAGGTTAGTAGGTGTGGAGGAGAGAAGTTTTTCTTTTGCAATTAAACATTTTTGAGATTTGAATAAAAATTTTATGTGCATTTTGAATACATTTTTATTGTCTTTTTTATGCATATAACATGTGATCAATTATTGAAAAAAATTCTCTTGCATTCAATGTTTATGATAGAGAATGTTGCTGCTGTGGTTTTATCTTGATACAAGTGCCTGCTAACTCATTAGTATAAGAAAATTTTATTTAAATTTTGGTTTTATAACTTATTTCATAAATATGAAAAAATAAATCCATCTAATAAAAGAAAATCTGTATAATTTACACTGAAATATCAACATCCACCAATTGAAAGATATTTTTGACGTGAAATGACTAGATTCACATTATGTCTGACTGTTAATCAGGGAGAGAGAACTTACAATGTCCAAGAAGAAGGCCACCCAGAGGTACATCCAGGAATTCAAACAAGCCCGGGAGGAATGGAAGGTCCTGGAGAAAGAGAGAATGGAAGAGGAGAATCGCAAAATTCTACAGTTCTCCAAACTACAGGAGGAGAGAGAGAATGCCAGAATGGAGAGCAAGAAACAGAAAGAAGAGGCAATGGCCAGAGTACAGCACGCGGTAAGTGGGCTTTTGTTGGTGGCTTACCAAGATAAGGGAGGTAATTATACTCTGCAAGTCTAGGAGCAAAGGGATATTGATGATGTACATGTATTTATGTTTGCATGAAAATGTCTTGAGTAGTTGATAAACAACTCATAGGAAGTTTGTTGGAGGAGGGGAGGGGGGGGGGGGGGAGAGAGGTTGCTCATGGGTGCTTTTTACAAATAAATATTTGAAAAAATGATCTTTTTAAAAACTCAGCAGGATTTGTCAAATAAATGCTTATATTTTTCAAAACTTCTTCAAAATATACTTAAATACAGTTCTAGTTAAAGGGAGATAATTGTACATTTACCTTGCTCTTCTATGAAAGTATGAAACTCTAACAGCAAATGTTTGATTATTTCTAGTTGGCAGAAGACATTTCTGCCAAGGAAGCGGCCCGGGAGGAGATGGAGAGGATCCGACTGGAGCTGTACCTCGAGGAGCAGGAGGAGAAAGAGAGGCAGAAAGAAAGGGTAGGTGGATCTAAATGTTGAGTACAAAAGGGTAGGTGGATCTATAAGTTAGAGTGAAAAAGGTGTGGTTCTTTGTTGGTTGTCAGTTCAATGTTTTTATGAACCCTGAATCTGAATTAAATGTTAGATACTCTGACAAACTACTGTAAATTGTCTTTAAAATGAAAATGATTGGAATTTTAAGTGAAAGAGAAAATGTGTTTGTGGCATTTTAGAACTATACTGTTACATGTAGATGAAAATAATTTGATGTGATACATATATATCACAGCAACTTTTCATGTAACTTTTATGTACATAATACAGCTTTTTAATTCCTGTCAAGTCAGTTTATTATATTGTAAGTAGAGTGTACTTCATTCCTGTAATTTTGTGTAACAGGAGGAGATGGAGAAGAGAATTCGCCAGAGACTGGAGTTACAGAGTACACACGCCCAACAGATGCACTTCAAGAATCTCCGCAGGAAAGCTGAGGAGGACGAAGAGGAGGAATTCAGGCAACAGGTAAAGGGGGACTACTCTGTCTAGTGGTATATGTAACGGGTAAAGGGGGGCTACTCTGTCTAGTTATAACAGGTAAAGGGGACTACTCTGTCTAGTGGTATATGTAACGGGTAAAGGGGGGCTACACTGTCTAAGTATAACAGGTAAAGGGGACTACTCTGTCTAGTGTATATGTAACTAGTAAAAGGGGGCTACTCTGTCTAGGTATAACAGGTAAAGGGGGACTACTCTGTCTTAAGTAATGGGTAAAGGGGGACCACTCTGTCTAGATATAACAGGTAAAGGGGAACTACTCTGTCTTAAGTAATAGGTAAAGGGGGACTACTCTGTCTAGTGGTATAAATAACAGATAAAGGGGGGCTACTCTGTCTAGTGGTATAAATAACAGGTAAAGGGGGACAACTCTGTTTAGTTTGTTGTATAAGTAACAGGTAAAGGAGGGCTACTCTGTCTAGTGGTATAAAAAACAGGTAAAGGGGGACTACTCTGTCTAGTGGTATAAAAAACAGGTAAAGGGGGACTACTCTGTCTAGTGGTATAAATAACAGGTAAAGGGGGACTACTCTGTCTAGTGGTATAAAAAACAGGTAAAGGGGGACTACTCTGTCTAGTGGTATAAGTAACATGTAAAGGAGGGGGGCTACTCTGTCTAGTGGTATAAAAAACAGGTAAAGGGGGACTACTCTGTCTAGTGGTATAAGTAACATGTAAAGGAGGGGGGCTACTCTGTCTAGTTTGTTGTATAAGTAACAGGTAAAGGGGGACAACTCTGTGTTGTTTGTTGCATGAGTAACAAGTGAAGGGGGACAACTCTAACTCTATGTAGCTTTTTTTTAATTTTAAGAGGATTTACATGTCATCTTAAAGTGAAGATACAAGGAGTTCAATATTAGGAGTCTTTTCATTTTGGAAATTAGAAATTGCACTAGAAAAGAAGAAAATAATTTAAATTTTATTTTAGAAATGAACTAACATTTTTTTTTATAAAGTTTAGAAGAGGGTGTTTGAATACACCCCCCCCCCCCCACAAAAAAAAATCATCAAAGTTAAAAAAAATTACTCATTAGGAACAATTTCTATATTAATAATAGCAATGTTTGTTACATGCATTATTTCTGCTTAAATTTATAATTCTTTAAAAATGTTGTTTTCAGAAGATTCAAAGCAAAATGATCTCTGAAATAATATAAACCATAATCAAAAGAATTAATTTTAAAGGGCTCTCTTTTACATTGTTTACAGTTCTTACTGAAAAATTGTAAGGCCAAAAAAAATTAATCAATAGTTTCTCAGGCACTGCCACATCAGGTCAGAAACTGCTGCACTGATCAATTTTATTGACAGATTATTAAGAAGGGAAATAACTCAATTTTCTATTTTTCCAAGTTGAAAAAGAAAATTGAGTTATTCCCCTTTTCCTAAATGCGTTTTTATTAGATAAACAATATATTTCTTGTTAATAAGGTAATTTATGGAATAACTTTTAAACAAAGGTTTGAAATAACATTATTTAAAGTTGAATACATACATGTATTATAATTAGTGTAAGAGAAAAGAAAAGTTAGAATCAATTGATATCATCATTTTGTTGATCAACTGATGAAAAAAAGATGTAACACCTTAAAAAAATCCTTCATGCTGCATTAAATGTGGAAATTTTTGGCCTGAGAAACTATTAATTAATTTTTTGGTGCCTAAATAGGAGATATTTATTCAAAGTATTCATACACAAAAAAAGGGGAAATCAAATTTGATTGATCATTACTATAAACATGGCAAATTTTATCATTTTTAGATGATGGCCAAATTTGCAGAGGATGATCGCATAGAACAAATGAATGCCAACAAGCGGCGCATGAAGCAGTTAGAACACAAGCGAGCGGTGGAGAAGCTAATCGAGGACCGTAAGGCACAGTTTGCTGCTGACCGCGAAAGAGAACTCGAGGAACGCCGCGAGGAGGAGAGGATGGAGGCCTTCAGGAAACAGATCATAGAGGAAGAAAGACAGAAACTCCTCAGGGAACACGCCATGAGACTTCTAGGGTACCTGCCAAAGGTAAGAAATGGTAGTAATGAGGGTTAAAGGTCATAAGAATGGTTCAAAAGCCATGCAAAATGTTTAGGTTATCTGCTGAAGGTAAAAGATGATGGTTTTGAGAGTTAATATAAAGGTCAAAAGAATGGTCCAACATGGAAGTAGAAAGGCATGCAGTGTAAAGTTTTGAGAATTTAGAAAGAGCATAAGTGGGAAAACTTCTGTGTATCATGAGAAAAGTCATTTTGCTTTTGCTGGGTGTTAAGAATTTATCTAAATAGAATAGAGATGTTTGTTGTAGAAACTCAAATGCAAATGACATCAAGTGTATTTAAATGTATTGGAAACTTCTTACATTCAAGCTTATTGATTAAATCCAATCAGCTATCTGTATAATAATGTATACATACATTTATTAGCAAAACATTGATTTATAAAACATCTATAATAAAAGCTCCATTTTTTATCCACAGGGTGTGATCAGAGATTCTGGAGATCTAAGCATGCTAGGACAAGATTTCAAGGAGGCATATAGCAAGCGTCAAATTGATCCATTTGATGACGAAGCATGGGACCAGCGTCGGTAGGGAATCGACCAATCAAATTAGGCAACTGTGATAATGAATTATTTTAACCAATGCCGTCCATAATCACACTGCTGTATGACTTGTTTATGGTAGAATGTAAAATTTTAATTTTTATGGATTGTCAAGTGATGTTACTATTTTACAGCAGTGGAGGGAATTCCATTTTTTACTGTGATCTGTTTTCATACAGAGAATTATCAAGAATGCATGTGTGAGAGAATGTGAAAGTGTTATGAATGAGAGACTTCAATGTGACATTATTTAAAGTCTTGTTTTGCCAAGGAAATACAATGGTCATATAATGTTTAAATGGTCCCAAGATACATGTACATCATGTACATGTATATTGCATTTCATGAGATGTGTATTAATTTTGTATATTCTGCTATGCAGGTTCTTCTCTGACTTTTATTGTAAATACATGTATTATGAATGAGTAGGGCATTACAAAGAAGTGATGCTCAATATTACTCCATGAAGTGCTAAGATCTGTTGATAATGCCAAAGATTTTCCTGTTTAGGATAAATCTAACAATGTACATGTATGAGAAAAAAAATGGAAGAAGATTATTTATTCCCACAATTCCTTGTTTTATACTCTGTTGTTTTTATCGTTAGCCAGATAGTATTTAATTAAAGTGTTCTGTATTTCATAGGGTTCAAAACTGATATTCTTTTGTAAAAATCATGCCATTTGAAAAGTAAAATGACTTCTGTGAAAATTAAAAGAGGGGGAAAAAATTGTAGTTTTCTTTATTTCAAGAAATAAATAAATTAACTGTTTTATTCATGCCTTGTCAAAAATATACTTTAAGCTTAGTATGATCTTCAGGAAAATTCGTAGGTGAGTTAAGGCTAGGTATAGGCATTTTTATGCAAATAAACTAATTAAAATGCTGAAGGACTATATCTATTATATAGAGAAAGTTAAAATGTATTGTCTAATAGATACTTGGTACCCACAACATGAGATAGCCAGTACACATTATGACGTCATATTATGACATCATTGTTCTTTACAACACAAGATTATAATGGACATCAACAAAAACGCTTCGGCGCAAGGTCATGCTGTATTTTATTTAACTGAAACAAGGTATATTTAGAAGCAAAATATTCCAAAGATTGCTGGTATTGCTGCACAAATATCAACAGCTCAGTTGTATAATTTCTATTCAAAAAGTTTTAAGTTGAATCTGGGTAAAAATGTTCCGTCCGGTATATTAAGTTTTCTCAAATTCTGATCAAATGATAAAATGCCTAGGATTTGTGCAGCTGTTTTATTAATCTATTGAATATTCTTCTTAGCGTTATACAATTTTAATGTAAAATTAAATAGGGTAATCCCTTGCGCCGAAGCTGTTTTGTTGATGTGTTTTATTGCCTCCAGTAGGTAAGAACAATGACGCCATAATGTGTACTGGCTATAACATATCGCTGGTACTAAGTATGCATAAGAAAATAATTCAAAACTTTCTCTGAATAATAAATATACTTCTTATGCATTTTTATTAGCTCATTTGCATAGAAACGCCTATACCTAGCCTTAACTCACATGCATTGGAAGTTTTTTTGTGTAAAGGTCAAATGATGGAGACCTCAACAGACAACATCTACAAACCTTAATTAAGATATGCTTATTGACTTGGAATCCATTTACCAGTAGAGGGTCTAAAAAGAATGATTACTTGTTGTATATTCTACCAGGACAAAAAATAATTACATTTCACTTGACCTTAACAATGTAGACATGTTGACAGTTGTGACAGATACTGAATATGTAGTGTAAACCAACTTTCATTTGCATGAGAGAAATACCAGCAAGTGTTGCAACATTCTTTTACATATAATGCAAAACTCTATCGCCCTCAAATTTTTTTTATTTATTTATTTTTTTTTTTGTACTAATTAACATGTATTTATGTAGAATTCTCCTCATTTGCAAAAATATTGATTTTCTTAAACCATCTCAATTTTAAGGGAAAACAACATTTAATGAAAAGGGCTAATTAGCTCTACAAGGTTTTCTGTGCTTGGTGTAAATTTAATATAATAGTGGATCAGAGGCAAATAGTTTTGAACTGCAATTTTGATGACTTGCCCAAGGCATTTTTCGTACATTGTAGTGACATCATAAACTCATCTATTGTTAGCAAATGGTTCTAATCCAATCCTCTCCTCCTTCAAAAGGAACAAGTATTCTGAGAGTATTGCATTAGCAATACTAGTCCCCTACCGGTAATTTAATCTGGTTCCCGCTAAAAATTGAAAATGCCAAAATTCCATCAAAAATCAATGAAGCGGAACAAAATGCAAACTTGATCTATATCTCATCAAGGTAAAGTCACATACCAAAAATTAGCTCAATATCTGCAAGCGTTTAGAAAAAAATTGGGGAAAACCCTGAATAATTTAAAAGGTCGTAATTCCGTCAAAATTCATTGAAGTGGAACAAAATGCAAACTTGATCTGTAACTCATCAAGATTCACTCATGTTCCAAAAATCAGCTCAATATCTGCGCGTTTAGAAAAAAAGTGCGGAAAACCAAGTGGGACAGACAGACAGACGGACGGCTAGACAGACGGACGGACAGACTCAGAGGAAATCTATAGTCCCCTCCGTTTTCACTGGTAGGGGACTAATAAGCTGTTATGAAAGGAATATGCTCAAGAGCAAAGTACAAACTTAAAGAAATCCATAATGCAGTAACTCATGATTATATTCTACAAAAGAATACTGTGTATTTAGTGGTGTAAATGCACAATAGGACCATTAGGTATGTGTATGTCCATCAGGAATAAAAGTCATCCAGACAGGGCTGTGATCTTTAGTAAATTCTCACAAGTTATCTTTCTTTGCCTAGTTATGAAATTTTAACCACCTTGTACACCTGCATCACACAAGACAAACAAAGGGGCCAAATTTCAATAAAAATATTAAATTAATATATGCCATAAACTCTCATCAAAGAGTAGGAAAAGATGGAGTTGATATTTAAGACCTCTTGCTTATTATTGAATTGCACAGATGAACCAAGTGTAATTTAAGGTTTAATCCCATATTCCACTTATGGGTGACTCCATCCCCCTCCCACCATTTCATACATGTACATGTCTAAGAATTATTCACAATAAATGTAAGAAATTTGTGGCACTATGGACAAGATTAATCCTAAATGTTAAAAACCATCCTCTTAGCTTTGAGAATTAAAAGCATGGAATGAAAGCAACCAATGTCATTATGAATGAAATGTTAAGATAAGGAACAGTGATGATATACTGAAAAATCTATTCAGACAATACAAATTATGAGCAAAGCTGACATGGACTTCTGAAAACAGGTGGGATCAGATGGAGGAGTAAGCATCCCCTGTCAACTGGTTACACCAGCCCTGTGCTCCGTGTCATGTTTAGGTAAACGTACAAAACCATGGACAACCTCTTAATGTTTTAGAGGTCAGTGTTTGCTCTGCTCTAAAATTTGTATTGTTTAATGGACTTTCGAGCTTGAATACTGTTCGTTATCTCCATACACTTCATTTGTCAAACTACATATAGATACAGGTGATCAGATTCAAAACAGAAACCCACAAAACATGACATGGATTGTTTTATATTTTTATTATTTGATCTACAGGAGTACATGATAAGGCAAATGGTGTCCTTAAAATCAAACATTTCAATCAGGTAATTAATTCAATTATTTTAATTTTAGACAAATTTTGATTGGTCAGTTGTATATATAAATTTGCATAAAATATATAGTATAGATATGTCAATACACATCTAGTGTACAGTAATATTGCTCCAAATATGAAAAGTTCCAAAGTAAATAAAGTAATGCAATTCTGTACTATACTCTCTCCTGCCTTTGACAAGATTAAGATTGATCGACATTAAGGGAGAATGACCATCTAAGAGAGGTAACTCTAAAATGTTTCCTACATGAAAGTTGAGTGAAATGTATCAATTTTTGCCTCATATGGTATACATTTGCCTGAATTTTTCTTAAATCTCCATTTTCTGTTTTAAAAATGTCAATAAATGAATTACAGAAAATTCCACCCTAATAACCAGTGTTCGTTCTCCCTTAACATGAAAACTATATAAATAAATATTCCAGTTTATATGAAATACTGAAAAGATGTAGACTTATATAGCACTGATTGCCAACTTTAAATATTTTATCTTTATTAAAAATAAACAATGCTTATTCTATTTGAAGGAATTGGTGCAGCTGAAATGTTTTGTGTATGAACATACATGTACTTGGTATGAAGCCGACTCATACATTGACATTCTTAAAAAACCCTTTTCTATATGGAATGCATTTATATAATATTGATTTTCTCACATATACAAAATATTTGCATAAAGACACATCATTTTACACAAGGGAACAAACTGTCAATGACATTTACTGAAACATAGCACTGCATACAATGGAACAAAATTTTCATCCAAACTGATAAATAATAAATGAAATTGATATGTATTCACACTGTAAACCATGTATATGGTCCAAAACATATGACATTATCATTGTTAAAACTGATATGTATTCATCTACCATAAATGCCCTGTTAATTCAAAAGTAAAATAAAAGCAGTGTTGTGAGTTATGTATGCATTGAAATGTATGTATGATTGAAAACTTCACATTGATTTACTTTATCTATACATGTATAATAAAAAAAAAATCCTTGAAACTTAGAGAAGAATCATATTGCTCATAACTTCACAGGCATTTTTTTTTAAAATATCTGTATTAATTTTTCATGAGTTTGAAAAGGAAGAGTAGCTGTGAATAATATGGCACTCGTATGTTATAATACATAATGTATGACTAATCTCCTTCTCAGTTTAGTTCAGATGTGTTATAAAAATCTTAGACTTTATCTAATAAATAATTTAAAAGTCCTTCCTTTCAAAAAGGAAAATTTACTTCAGCACTTTGCATGCAAATTTAAGATTTCATAATGTTTTTCCTTTAAGCACAGTTTTCTTTGCCCCCATGTTATTTTTAGTTACCTCATTTCACACGTCATGCAAACAATTTTGCCCCATTTTAAATTTACCAGAATGAGGTATAATTGTATGCTTTGAATTTGCTTTGTTTTAAATTCACCGACTAGAAACAAGGTTGAAAAGGCAAAAACAAAATGGGAACAAATAATTTCTCTGTACGTATACAGTACTTTTTCTTTGTGTGTGTGTTTGTTTGTAAGTACAGTATTTGATTATCAACATTTTCTCATGAATCATCCATTAAAAAACATACAAACAGACTAACTAAAAAAAAAATCACAGGTACACAAAGCCATTCAAAAATTCAGGTAACTATATACAGTAACATTTAAAATGTGTGATCAAGAATGCATAATTAATTATCAGTTGAATTGAATATATAAAAATTATGCTATATACAAAGCTTTGGGATACGATAATAATAACATACCAAACACAGTACTAGTACATAGATATGAGCAAGAATATATCAATTTAAAAGCTTAATTAACAATCAATGTATAATGACATGTACATCTCAAACCCAAGCCTACAACCATACTAAAATATATGAAATTAATAAATCACATAAAACATACACACACATATATATACATATGGCAACATAAGGACATAAGGTTCGGTCTCATACTTGTTTATACCTCGTAACAAAATGAGGTCAGGAGGAAATATATAACACACCAAAAAAAACATTTAAAACTACAAGAAATTGAGTCGTTCGAGAAAAAAAAATTACAATTTTTGCTAGACATGGACAAAATCTTAATGAAGTGTTCATATCACAGGTTATTGATTGGAGAATTTTTTTGTAACAGTAGGAAGAGAACGCAGGAATATGAAGGTGTGGGCAATGTAACAATAAAATTTTAGTGAACATATATCAGAGAGTGCATATTACTTGATTAATTAGTAAGCAATAAGTCTGTATGAAGTTTTCCTTAATGTAAAATCTTTCTCTGTTCATATATTTTCTTGACTAGTACCGATTACATACATGTAGTTCTCCAAATATGACTATGGCATACTGAGACAATATTTATATTGTATGGTTGTTATATTATAATAGTTCTGTATAATGGCTTTAAGAAAGCTGCTCTAGGTATCATAATTCTCTTTCCTCCTTCATATGAGATTTGAGTTGAATATCAAAAGAAAAAACTAAAAGATTATACACTACGGCAAGCATTCAATATTTCTCACTTTACATCTAAATGACACTAAATTTTAAAAAAAGGGATTTGTAATAAGCGTTATCAAATTCAAGGGTATTTCTTAAAACATTCTATCATTTGAAATCTGAATAGCATTCGCAAATGCTTTATATTTATGAAAGAAATTGAATTGCTTATATTTTGTTCTACTCAGCTTGACAATCATGGCCATAAATTCAACCTGCTCAGCTATTCTACAGAATTAAAGACACTTAAGGAGATGGGAATACCTTACAGAGTTACACTTAAAAAAAATTGTACATATTCACCTCCCCTGTTATTGCTTACTTAGTCCTCTTCGTGCTTTGAGCACGTATGCCGTTTTTATGATTAATTAAAAATTCAACATTTTGGCATTGAAATCTTGGAATGTATTAGTAATATTTTTCATGAGGTCGACCATAGAGAGTAAATAAAAAAAAATTGTCCTGCTCTCTCTGAATTTAAAAAAAGGGGTCAATTTTCAATGTCCTAACAAAGTGAAAAACAGTACCAAAAGGGAATGTATGGTATAGCAATCTTTAACACAGAATAACAAAAATCAAAACTTAAACATTTGATCATAAAGTGATCAGTTACAAGAAATAGAAACATATATAATATGTTATATAAAAATATTCATCTATATACACCGTAAAAAAAATGGATACTATATATATAAAAAGTTTATGTGGACAATGGTTTCCATGGCAACAACAATCCTCATAAATCATCTCGCATTGATTATAGCACAAACAATCAATAACGTCCCTAACACAAGCCAAAAGGAAAATGTCACATGACCCACCGAGTTGACATTTCTCGTTAGGTCGTCCTGAACAAATAACAACTGGTCAATGATATGCATGACCCCATTAGTTGCCCCCTCGTCCATGTGAATAACATTCGCTGATGCTCCTCCAAAGTATATCCTCACATCTAAAAATAGATAAAAATGTATTGCAATAGATTGAATATGTACTGTAGAGGTACTTTATGCTGTGTGGTATATTAATCTATGCTATGTACGCGGTCACAAACTTCCACAGAAATTTGTCCCAGCGTACCGAAAGTACATTAAAGTCATACAGTGGCAGTCTAAGAAATCTGCGTAATCTTCTATCTGTGGATTGAACAGAAATTGTGATTCCGAGAAATTATAATCCCGTGGAAAAAAGTTTGTATACAGTATTCTCAGTCAGTTTGTTTGTCCTTATTACATTATTTTTGGCTGATATCCCCATATAACTGTAAAGTGAACAAAACAAATACAGTAAAATTCAGTTATAATTAAAAGAACTCTCTTAGAGGGACATCTCAGTTTGAAGGAAACTCTCAAGAATACCCTTGAAGACTTTGCAAAATGTTTCTTATTTATTAAGGAATAACTGTCAAGTTTTTTTGTTTTTGATGTGATCAATCAGTTTGCTTATGTGATAATTTGCATAAATGCCGAAGTCATTATAAAACAAAATAATAAATCCAGACAGTTTTTCCTTATATATGCATTTTTACCTAATCCTTATAAATTCAATAAAATATTTTTATTCAATAATAAGAAATCCCTGCAGGTCCGGCCCAGTGTATAGCTAAGCAACATACAGCAAGGCAGTATGCAGTTCTGACACATGCTAAGCAAATGGCTTTATGAAGATATAAAGCTATTACCTCATTTGTACCATAGCTTTATCTCGGACAAAGCATTTGAAAATATAAACAAAATATTTTTACTGTACATATACTACATTTGCCCCCAAACTGACCCTAAGTTTCTTACTTTGAAGCTTTCTTTCAGAATTCAAAATGTTTAGTTTACACACATTTTTCCCCTTTAGAGTATGCTTTATTGCATGCTTCAATAATTTCTCAGAGGCTGACTGAGATTTATGCCCTTTTATTTTCATGTGAAGTTTTGATACGCAGGATCTATTTAAAAGGTGTGAGCAAATATCAACAAAGAGTATCAGAGGAATAATTACATGTAACTATGTATCTGTTATCATAGACATTTATTCCTCTGTCATGTTCATACAGTAATTCGCTGATTTAACAACAGTGTAACATTGATATATCTTGAAGATTTTAATATCTAGAACATGATTATGTCAGATACAGTTGGAAGTGTCCAAACCTCTTTTACTAAGCAACCTCAACATCTCAAATCCTAGAATAGTTTTTTTTTTTCCCAGGGCCCCAGGAAGTCTGAGATTTTGACATGTGACTGTATAATTACCTCTGTCATTTGTTTTAGTGAGACTAATTGTTTCACCATTCAGCATCTGCATCTGGTGGTTTCCATTTCCCATTTTTTCTATATAAATTCGTCCACGAACAATAAGCCGTTTAAACAACTGAAAAAGAATTACTTTACATCCTTAAAAACTTCTTCACTCTTGAATCATTAACAAAACACTTTACAGATACATATATTAATTTTTGTTGCATTGAATAAAAAATTACCATTAATTATAAAACAGAAATTAATAAAAATTTTAATGCTTTTATAAGGTTTTAAATTGCAAAATATATGACCTACACTACGAGGGGCAATCAGAAAATAATGCAAGTAATGTTATTCCATAGGTTTCCTTAGTAGGTGACCAATATCAATGTCACGCACGGGTAGATACATTCATAACCTGTATCTGTCTAAAATTTCTCTTCGTTTTACTCACTGTTTCAATATATTAATACAAAAGAAGGAGGGGTAGTTGTACATACTGACCATTTTCTCCCAGTGATATGAAAACTACAGTGAAGGCTGAAATAAGGACCTATATAAAAGTGAGAGGCATTCTTGATATACCTGCAAAAGTCATTTTAAATGAAATTTGTCAGATTTATGGAGATTCTGCCGTTTCATTAAGCACAGTTTGTCGCTGGTTGAAAAAGTTCAAGAATGGCGTAGAGGTCGTTAAAGATTCCTCAAGGCCAGGGCGACCAAAGACAGCTGTTACTGATGGAAACGTAAACAAATGGTAGAGGAGGATGGTAGATATACTTTATAAATATATCGCTAGTGTTGTTGGGATCTCATCAGCAAAGGTACATGACATTTTGACAAAGCACCTCAACCTAGTACGTAAAATATGTGCACGATGGATACTGCATCTCTTGACACCAGAACAAAAGTCAATGCGTTTAAAATTTGCCAGAAAACTTTTTAAAATATATCAAAACTGTGACAGGAGAAAGTTTGCTGACTTGCTAACAGGTGACGAAACTTGGATATACTTTTTTGAACCGCAAAGAAAAATTAACAATATGATGTGGGTTAAAAAGAATAGTGAGCATCTTGTCAATGCAGAAAGGTGTCAGAGTGCTAAGAAAATTTTGTATGCTATTTTCTTTAATTCTAGTGGCCCAGTTGTGCAAATTCCAACTCCGCAAGGTCGAGGTATCTCTGGACATTTTTACAAAAATAATGTACTGAAAAAAATTTAAAAAGCTTATGAAAAGAACATCAAGCTCATTCATGACAATGCCCCCGCTCATAAGAGTAATTAAAATAGTTCAAAGTTTTTTGAAGGATGAAAAGGTTGTTCAGCTTCCCCATCCCCCATATTCTCCCGACCTTAGTCCCTGTGACTTTTTTTCTATTTCCTAGACTTAAAAAAATGTTATCTGGATGCCGATATACTTCGCGCAGTGCAGTTGGTAGTGCTGTTTATCAGTGCTTAGACAGTATTCCAAGGGAAGACTACCTAGGGGCTTTCAAATCATGGGTATGCAGATTGCAAAAGTGTGTGAATGTGAAAGGGGGTTACTTTGAAGGATTAAACTAGTTTACATTTTGATATCTATTGTTCTTTTTATTTTTTTGATATACTTGCAGAATTTTCTGATCGTCCCTCGTATCACAATTAGAAGTTTTTCTGTGTTTTTATATACAATTTTGTAAATTATGAACTGTTCAACATAGGTGGTTTACATTAACAACATGACGTTTATATAAAAAAGATTTTTTTTTTTTACTTTTGATAACTTGCATAAAAATCATCTTCCTGGAAGTTTAACAAAAATTCTAATTACTTTGCTAGGGGTCAGTGAGAATCTTGTAATTTTTTTTCACTTACATATTGAAATCTTGGTGTGTCTCTCATGACTCTATTTCCATTAAGCGACACTGAAAAGTAGTCAATAGCACTCGAATTGGGAACAAAGACTGTGAATTCGCACGCCACAGTGGTCGATCCGCAGTACCCCATATCGTAGTCGGAGGAACTCTGTGATCCTGTATTCATGCCATTCAGCATGTTGCACGGATACGTGTTGCACGGACTTTTGTTGGCATTGCTTGGATCGCTGCAGTAACTCACATACTGACACTGGGTTGTTGATCCTCCATTACAACTCAAGCATTGCTGGGAGTTTGCGTATTGGGGCTGGGAGCAGTAAGCAGGGCAGTTAGATCCTGACGTACACATGGCCGAGTTACAAGGATACTGATTTGCATACTGGGACTGTGAACAATATGTTGGACAGGTTGTTCCCCCTCCAGTGTTGGTATTGGCACACACAGCAGTATTACATGGATATTGGTTCTGGTAATTCGCCTGGGCACAATAAGTGGGACACGTGGTGGAACCAGTATTTGTCTGACACTGTGCTGTATTACAGGGGTACTGGTTCTGATACTGGGCCTGGCTACAATAAGTAGGGCAGGTGGTTCCCTGGTTAGTGAGCACGGCTGATCCGTAATTTGGAGGATAGCCATAAATTTCGAAGCTACACTTCTCTGCTGTGAATCTACGGTCCGTCAGGTAGTTCTTTAGTCCCACTCTTCTCATGTAGTCATATGTACGCCTACAATTTAAGAATGTGAAAGATACTAAAACTAAAGGTTCTGAAACACAGTCATATCATAAAGAGAACTATCAATATGTCATTAAGGTCTAATATTTTTGTCATTCACTCAGGCATGTAGTGGTTATTGATCATCATTGTTTATAACCTAACTGTACTTACAGAAGCCACACGTCATGGCAGATTAACATGGGCAGATCCAGATAGGGAACTCCCAGCACAGAGTCGATGATGTGGACCATGCCGTTAACTGTCTTTATGTCTGGCCGGATCACACGAGCCTTCACATTACCTCCCTGTACCCAGGTTTCTAAAAATTGAAATGACATTGCTTTGTACATTTTTTTCTTAATATAGAAAATATTATTAATGAATGGACAAAGGTTGATGAAAATTCACATCGTTTTCACCTTTTTGAATCTTCTATATTAACATACATATATGAAACAAAATTGCAATTCTAAAATCAAGAGAATATTTTGAATTCAAAGTTTTTGGAGGCTTTTTTGAAAGGGGGGGGGGGGGGGGTGGTCAGATCAGCAGGTTAAAAATTCATCCAATGAATACTCTTTCATACTGGTCTTCTGAAAGTCAAACTACAAGCAACTACTTACCATTTCTTTCATTATAAATGGTTACCCTCTCATTGTTATACATGGTTTGTCTGTATTGACGACTCTCATAGCCGCTCATTGCGGGCAAGGAGGAGATAATAATCGGGTTGTTGGGTACTAAAATATGCAATCGAAGCACCTGAAAAAAAAAAACAATGAAATTATCTGGGATGCATTAAAGATCACAGCAGCTACCCTACTTGCTTTAAGCTAGATATCCAGGTCTACTATAAGAATTAGTAGTTGTCATCGTTACATAACCGCTAGGCTAGTATATTGTTTATAATCATAGCCCTTTGTTCAGTCGTTTCCACTGCAACCTTAAAATGCAGTGATGCTGTTATTGAACTGCTGAAGAACATAGTTACATGAAAGAAAAACAACACCTAAAAACAAGAAATGGATGAAAAGGGGAACAACTCAGTTTTCTTTTCTCAACAAAAAATAGAAAATGGAGTTAACCCCCTTTCAAATGTGTGAATGTCAATATCTGAATAAAATTGATGACTTTTTTTATGGCTTAGAGCTTAGCAAGTCTAGATAGTTACCATATCCACTAATGTCTGATTACTGTTTAAGTTGACCCAGCGTATGTTGGCGATTTTCTGGAAGGCTGTGTCCAGAGGCACGAAGACAGTTACCCCTGAAGGCTGCACCAAGGAATTCCTTACGTTTTCTGTGCCAAGATTTATCAGCTGCTCAAATTTCCTTAAAATAAATATTAAATGATACAAAAAAATGAATATGAATAAATATATAAGGACATAAAGCACATTTAATACACATAATTAAAGTGAAAAATTATGCTTATTATGACGAATTCATGTTTAACTTAAGCCTTATGCATGTATTTAAGGATAGACGATACATTTCTTAATAATATATATTTTTTTCTAAGAATTTGTTATTGAAGTATTGCTTCTTTAACATGTTTACTCCCAAAAATTGAGGTACCTTACCAGGCATTTGTGCAAAATACCAGAGGATGTTGTTTCCTATAAAATCCTTTTGAAAAAAAACTTAATTTGCCTATATCACATTTTTTAGTCTTTCAATCTTTCTTAAAGACAATTAGAAACAAGCTTAGAAATCAGAAGGTAATTAAAATTTGGAATATTTTCCATACAATACGAGGATATACATAACAGATATTTGAGGAACGTATCGTCTGACCTTAATAAAGCAAAGTGAATGTCTTCACCAGGCCTGTAGTTTTAAGATGAAATTATCAAATATTTCTGAGTTTTTTTTAATATGTTAAAGACCTTATTTCCGTTTGGAACTGATTTTTGAAATTTCCTAATAACATGTTATAGTACTGTACCAGTAAAATTTCACGCTGCAAATATACTAAATAGTGAATGATTGTACATAATTTCTCAAAGAAGTGGGGAAAAATTATTTGGAAATCCGAAATCCAGGAAAATGGTAGTTTACAGAAAAAAAGAACACTCATGACATAATACTTTAATCTAATAAGCTAAATGCAAAGACCCTCAAAAAAATTCTACATACGTTCCCTCTCGTTGAATCTGTTCACGTATGTTGTTATAAACAAATCCCAACAGCTGATCAACCACATGCACCACTCCGTTGGACACCGTTATATTTCCCTCAATAATGGCCGCACTCACCCCGTCACTATTGACATACACTGAAATCAGGAAGTAAACATGTTCAATAATTACTGTGGAATCATTTTTGTTCGTGGGTATACAAAATTTACTTGTTTGTGAGGACATAATTTTTGTGGTTAATCATTCTTACGGCAGATGCAACGAACCAATGTTTACAAAATAAACGTTTGTGGGGATGTTAATTTGTGTGTAGGGGTGACCCACGAAATCCATAAACATTGGTCCCATCATTTATTTATGGAAAAAAGAATGAAAACACTAACACACTAGATTTTTCTAATCAAATAATTATAGCAAACCAGATGTCAAGTAGGACAGAGACATTTTTCATGAAATTGGTACAATTCCAATAGCTGTTTATTATATATAGAGGGAAAGAGTTCAACTTTAGTAGAACTTTAATGTTTTTTTTCAATTATCTACAAACTCAATATGTCAAGCCAAAGGAATGCTTTTATACATGTACGAGCAAACCAGGGCAATTTACAACAAAAATAATGTCCCAAGCAACTGTGCCTTAATACCCCATTTTAACTTTCAATTACTAGGATTTAATGCAACTTCTAATAATAAATACAAATGAATTGTATAAAACTATGTACAGGTATTATTGCTATTTTTTTATGAATGAAGTTTCTTACCATTGTAACCTGACGGCTTTCTGAAGGTCAATGGTTGACCTTTAGCATTAGTTACACCTTCATTGTGGGAAATACAGTTGGTGAAAATCGCCCGATTAGGAACATAATGAGCTTGAAGAATCTAAAGAAAAATATTCAATACAGTTAAACCTTAATATCTTTAACTCAGCTGGATTGAGAAAAGACTTCAAGATATACCATATAACGGGTATTTTCTGCGGTTGGAAATTTTTGCGATTTGACCCCTGAAAGGTAGGAAATTAATTTCTGCGTTTTCAATTTCTGCGGTTGCATTATACCGCAATATTTTTTTACGGGATATGATCACCAAATTATGAGGATTTTGCAGAACATTGCCATGTTTAGGTTTAATTTAAAGACATATTGATCAAATGTGCTTGTAAAAAATTTCAAGCAATATGAAAGAAATATTTTGCGATTGTAATTTTTGCAGATTTGTCCTATCCACAAAATTCCGCAAAAATTGGACAACCACAGAAAATAGCCGTTATACGGTAAGAAGGTCTGAGATAATGAGGTTGAAATACAATAAGAAAATAGAAATTCTGAAATATCTTATGATTGAAAATGGACAACCGTTGTTCTTTGTGGATAGTCCGATAAGTGTATATTTACTTGTACAGTAGTAGGATCTGATAAGTTTATATTTACTCTTGTAATTCTGTGGGATTACCCATTGTAATTCTGAGAGATCTGATAGGTTTATATTACATGTATTATCCGTTGTAATTCTGTGGGATCTGATAGGTTTATATTTACCCGTTGTAATTCTGCAGGATCTGATACTAGGTGTATATTTACCCGGTGTAATTCTGTAGGATCTGATATAGGTTTATATTTACCCATTGTAATTCTGTAGGATCTGATACTAGGTGTATATTTACCCGGTGTAATTCTGTAGGATCTGATATAGGTTTATATTTACCCATTGTAATTCTGTAGGATCTGATACTAGGTGTATATTTACCCTGTATAATTCTGTAGGATCTGATATAGGTTTATATTAACCCGGTGTAATTCTGTAGCATCTGATATAGGTTTATATTAACCCGGTGTAATTCTGTAGGATCTGATATAGGTTTATATTTACCCGGTGTAATTCTGTGGGATCTGATATAGGTTTATATTTACCCGTTGTAATTCTGTAGGATCTGATATGTATATATTTCCCCGTTGTAATGCTGTAGGATCTGATATATGTTTATATTTACCCGTTGTAATGCTGTAGGATCTGATATAGGTTTATATTTACCCGTTGTAATTCTGTAGGATCTGATATAGGTTTATATTTACCCGTTGTAATTCTGTAGGATCATTCTTGAGTCGGTCCAGCTGTGTGATAGGAATCTTTTGCATTGCATTGTCATTGGGAACAAATAAGGTGGTAATCTTGTCTGGTGATGAAATGTCATGAATGTTGTCCAACACAATTAGGTAGCTCATCAAATCTATGAATCTCCTGCAATTTCAATTTATAATAACAGCTTGTAATTAAACTCATCTTTAGTAAATCAACTTGTTTTAATCCCAATTCATCATTTCAAAATTTATCAACAGCCTTTTATTTTTGTGTCTTAGAAATTCTACACAGTCAAATAAGCAATACCAGTAATTAGTTTGCCGAGGGATATAGTCATGAATAAAAGGAAATTGCAACATCTGATGATATTTCTCAAGTCAGAGTGAATTTATGCTGCTTTACAACTGTATAGGGTACAGCAAAGGGCAGTGCATATTGCTTTGCTAAAGTGCATACATTATACAATTATTACAATAGCTGTTTTTGAGGTCAATACAATGATTTAGCCACTGAAGGATCACAATGATGAATATTTAGTATACGCAGCCTGAAGGGTGAGGAGAAAATTGTACTTTGAGGGTGGCTAAATCATTGTATTGAAAAAGCAATAATTGTTGTATTATTTAATAATTAAATAATCCTAACTTAAGCAAACTATGATATCTTTCTTGATTGTTTAAATTTGTTGAAGCCCCAGCAATGAGAAAAGTTGGTTAATATAAAGATAAATAGTTGCATAAATTTTCTAATCTATTTAATGAAACAAAAACAAATGTCAGGCATGTAGCCTTGAATTTGGGGGAGGAAAAAAACTGACAATTTGAAATATCTTTGACAAGCTAAAAAGAGGAAAATTCTCCAAACTCAAAATCTTTAGGAGGCTGGGGAGGGGTGGTTAGGGTAAAAATCTGGTATTTATAAATGGTAAAATATTTTTCAAGAATTCTGGGTATTGCTGCAAATGAAAATATACGTAAGAATGGAACTTTCGCAAGTGAACTGTCCCATGTGATTTAACAAAAGATGAAAATATTGCCCAACAAAAATTATTTACAGTAAACCCTGCTCTGAAACAAGTCTATACATACGTAAATCTCTGTGTAGCATCCTCTGGATCTTGGATCCACCCATATGCTGTTTTTTGACTTGTTTTCCGCATGACTCCATTTAGACCATGAACAACTCCATTGGTGGCGGAGATGTCACGATTTGTTCCCTCCGATATCTCCACACCATTGACATAATACTTGATTGGTCCAAATGTGCCAGCTGAGGTCTGAAAGAACACAGAAACTATATTTAATCAAATTATCTGTTTTTCCCCGACTTATTTGATAAAGAGAAATTTCAGTTTGATTAATCAAATAAATTTATAAGTAGCTAAGACCTGACGGCCTTTATAAGAGATGACATCATAATCCAGCCATAGAAGAAATTATGTTAGAGTTCTTTATTTATAACCTTTGCAATTCAAATTCCTGAGATTCAGAAATATGCAAGAAAATCAACTGAGTTTAACTGATATTAAAATTGTTATTTTCACACTATGACAATAATAATCAGAAGTACTTAGCTTATACAGGGTCAAACAGAAAACCAAAGTAAAGCAATAGAATTAGAATATTCAAAGTTCCATGGTTGGAATTCATTTTATTCATGAGAAAAAATTTTCCAAACTGGTGACAATATATAAAATAAAATGTCTTACTCATAAAATAAATTCCTGACTACAAAAAAATTAAATATTCTTATCAATATATCTGAATATAAATTAGTCCTCAGTGAGAGAACTTTAACTTTCTGAAGGGTAGTTCACTCAATGTATACTTAAAATAGATATGAAAAATGCCCATCACCAAAATCACTGAAAAGTGAAATATAGGTCTTAATCAACAGGTGATTACACAATACATCCATCAAAGAAATAAATCTTAAAAGTATTTATTGATTACTAACAGATCAATTCTTAAAAACTTTAAGACAGTTTTAGTTGACACTTAAGGTTCATAGTACCCTGGGAAAGAGAGGTAACTCTCGATAGCATATTTCATAAAGCTCCACGAGATTAACTTTTTCAGCACATTAAATGCCGTTTTCAAGCACTTTTAGACAATCAAATCATGCAAAAAAATATATTTCTTGAGGTTTTTTTTTTCAAAATTTCTTTAACTCATTTAATTTTTTTCAGCATTTTCTAATTGGTATTGCTATAAAAAGGTAAATCAATACATTTTTTTTCTCTTTCCATTTTTATATTTAAATAAATATGCTTGATTAATATAAAGCAGCCAATTAACATCAGAATTCAAGCATCGTAGAAAAAATATATGCACATAACATGTATTTTTAAGCACATTTTCAAGAATTTTTTGCTGTTCAAGCATTTTCAAGCACTTTTCAAGGACTGGATCAAAATTCAAGCACTTTTCATGGTCTGTAGGAACAGAGTTACTCTGAATGGAATAAATGACAAATTGTCAAGTAATCAGCTCATTTCTGTTAAATTTTACTTAACTACTTTAAGTATGCTGAAATTTTTTAAATCATTAAGCACAATTCTATGTGTACAGGGATGATGAACCTTATAAAAAATTTTTTTCTTACACAAACAGTTTATCAAAGTGGTATCATGTTAACACAAACTTACATGCACTTACAAAAGTGCACACATAACATAAAGGACAAGGTATGGTAACAGCCAAATCTGGCCCCTTGATGCAAAAATCAGAACACAGATAAAACTGTGATAGTTTGTACCGTATTTGGCTGAATATAATACGCACTTTTTTCACAAAATAATTTTCTGTGAGAAAGGGGTGCGTATTTTACACCACAATGGGATTTTGATAGGTTTTTCTTTCATGTGAAACAAGGCTATCATACGCACATACCGTAGTATTACCTAGAGACTTATGCAATTTTTTGCTGTTTATCGCCATATTTAAAACTTCAGAAAGTTATTGTTGGAATGTAGGCTTGTTTAAAATGTTATATTTATAACCTTTTGATAGATAAATTAAATTTAAAAGCAAAATTAATTTGAGCTGCATGTTCATCGTCTCCGTGTAGGCCGCCATTAACGATGTTATTTATAGATGTTCACATTCCTTTGCCACGTGCTTCCGTAATCATAGTACACATGTACCTAATCAGTCAGACCACTCGGTCAAAAAAAGTAATAAGTCATTTTTTAATGAAATACAATAAAATAAAATTTATTTTAGGTTTTAAATAACTCAGTGAAAATTCATTTTAACATAAACACCCCTCTATACGTCCCAGTGAATGGAAGCCAATGTTGGGAACACGTGCACTTGTCACTTGATAATTACCCCTCAACACCCCTCCAGGCAATTAAACTGTTTACCGACTCCAAAGCATTGTTTTTACAGTTAGAGCACTGATTATTTACTGCCCTTATTAATGGCTTTGGTTATTTTCTTTGTTAAAAATCAGGGGTTGGTTTATGATCTTTCGTATGTATAAGCCTGTGTTGATTACGACATATTAAACAGTTAAACGCTTGTTAAATGTAATTTTACTTTATCTTATATCGGCCTCGTGTTAAATTGATTGAGAGTTAAAAAAGGAAACATTGAAGCATGTTGAAACTTAAGTGTTATCATTTACTCGTGCTCTGTAAAAATGATATCCACGAAGATCACCTCGATGTATGAAGACATATATCCCACCTTTGTACATCATTTTTCACAGCTTTGGAGGTGTGTTGATAACTACACTTTACACGCTTGTTAAATTTCGATTTTATTTTTATAACATCAGCTATTTATTTAATTAATTTCAAGTTCAAAAGAAGAAAATCGTAGTCTATGAATACTTTGATGTTGCAATATCGCTTGTCCTGTTAAATTTACATAATTTTCAACATGATTACCTTAAACTAAAAATAAATATGACAACTGTTAAACTTGCAACAATATCTCGTGCTTTGTTGAAATAAAATTATTTCCACAAAGAATAGTTAGAATACGGCGACGTATAATTTCAATATCACCGTATGCTAAAAAAAATATTAATAAACTCTGTTAATACTTTAATGCAACATTATCTCATGCTTTGTTAAAAATAAATAATTTTTTATCTCCGCGCCGATTTTCATAGCAAATTACCACGATTTTCAAAATTTCGGTAAAATTTTCTGCTGCGTATAATACAACCGAACTGCGTTTTTTCCCCAGTTTCAGGCTCAAAAAGGGGGGTGCGTATTTTACACCAATGCGTTTTATATTTGGCCAAATACGGTAGTTTAGACCTTAAAATGATACTTGTTTTAAAACCAGACCAATTTTGATTCAAAGCTTACACGGAGGACACAAGAGGGTGCAGAAGTGGGACATTTTCCTGAATTTCCTCGATTCTGCTGGAATTTAGTCAAATTTGCGATACTTTTCACTTCAGGAAACAATTAGAGCACTAGCTTGCCTATCTGAGATATTTATACACAAGATGCATCTGATGCTAGTGTATGAAATATATAAATTTGGTAGATAGGCAAGCTTGTGCTCTGTGTTTTCTGAAACAAAATGTGCTGTAAAATCGATGAAAATTTGCATTAAAATGAGAAAATTCAGACATTGACACATTTCCTGACCTTCCCGTGACCTCTGTATATGCCATAACTTAGAACCAATACTCATTTTGTGGCAGGGGTATCAACAGGTTTTTATTGATAAACTGTTCCATCATTCTAAAAAAACACCCCAAACCAGGGGCCAAAAAGGGGTCTTAGCCTATCTTGTCCTTTATCTCATACATCATGTACATGTGGGGGATACTACCTATGCTCGTTGAAATGGTGTATATTCACTCAGCAAGCCTCAGAAATAATACACCATTTCAACTCGATGGATAAAGCAAATATCAAATCACACAATATCAATATTCTCTATACACCTTAACAATTTTACATTATGTCTTTAATATATTTAATGAACTCTAAAATCATTTCAACAAAAATCTGTAATACACTTCAAAAACTTCCTCACAAGTTGTTATTAAAGATAAAAACAAACAAACTTATCAAACACAAAGTCCTTGACAACAAAACAGTGTGCAGAATAAAAATAATCAAACTGTAACAGAAAATTAAGCTGTGACAGACCTGTGAGGAATCAACCCTGGGCTCTCTAAACTTTTCCAAGATGCGCTACCAACTAAGCTAATTAATGGATCATCTGGAAAATATAGGTCAGACCCAACATCCGAAGCAAGTCTATAGTATGCATCCCTATATGCATCATTCAGGCAAGTTTCATCACCACAGGGTTTTCACTTGAGAATGCTTTAATAAATATAGGTCAGATTAAGCAACCAAAGCAAGACATGTAGCCAGTGTGCATCCCGCAGTGTTTTCCCCAGACCGTTTTTGCATGGCGGTACCGCCATGCATTCACGATCCCCCGCCATGCATCACACATTGCCGCTATGCTTCCCGCTATGCATGAATTATTAAAGGTAGACTATTTTAAGAAGAAGATATACTTGTTATCAGTTATTAATCTTTCAATGAAACTAAAAAACAAATCACTAGAATCACAGCGTGTACTGTACACATGTTGCACACCTGTGGTGAATTCGATGTGAATCGCGGTACGTGGTATGATGCAATAGTTGTCTATTTATGTTTATTGCAATTTACTGATATGTTACTAAGAATTAAGCTTTTATTTGATCAAAAATATTTATAAGCATGAAAAATTTATTAATTGCTGTCAGATACTACACACGGTGAAAGTAATACACTTGTTATATGCACATGTGGGTTTTTCCAACATCCACAGGTCATTCTATAAATAGCATTGATATTAGGACATCAAAAATGATTCATTAGTTAAACACTTAATTTTAAAGCCATTTTTAGCATAAATATGCTTAAAATAATCATGTCCAATAAATATTATCATTGTTTATTTACTCTGTGAACTATATATGGGCAAATACTTCGTTCAAGCGCACGTGCTTGACCTACATTCAACAGCTTACGTTGGACACCAGTCACCAGTGTACTGAATATGTTGTCACAATATTTACATGTAAGCAATGGTGCTACATAATGTGCACCCTTTTTGTTTAAAAATGACTGTAAAAGTAGGGACATCCAAAAGAAAAAAAATGTAGTAAATAAAAAAAGGGGGGGGGGGTCACTAGGGGCCTATTCAGTTTGTAGAAAGCAAGAATAACACAGCACATAAACATGATAAACAGACAGTGCTTTAGTAGAAAATAAAATAGAACAATTTTTTGTGATTAGATATATTTTTATAAAAGAGAACTCAATTGTTTAGCTTTTTTTAAAGTTATATTGACAATATATTCAAAATATATCATTTAAATTAAAAAAAAAATATAAATGAATGAATTTGTATTTTTCATTTATTAAATATAAATTCAGATACATGCACAAATAACTCAACAAGACACGCCACGCGCCGTCAATTCAGCAAAATTCCCCCCATGCATTGAAAATTTTCTGGGGAAAACACTGAATTCCCTAGATGCTTCATTCATACAAGTTTCAGCTAGGTAGGGTTTTAACTTTGTACTCAAAATGTAGGTCAATTTATCTAGCATCTCAGTCATGCAAGTTTGGTAGGTGGATCCACTATAAGCATCATCCATGCAACTTACTGTAGATTCCTAAATATACGCGAGGAATAAATTATTGCATAATTACGCGAGAAGCACCACTCGCAAAATAAAATTACTCGCTTTTATTTTTATAGTGCTTTAATGTATAGAAAATCTCTAGATAAATCAACGATTCGCGAATTATTGTTCTCGCGATTTGACGTCCTTTGGCAATTTCGCGATATTAAGTACTCGCGTAAAATAAGGAATCTACAGTAGTCAAGGTATTTAGACTTGCAGTTAATTGGGAATGTAGCTGCTCTAGAAATTTTTACCCATCACTCATCTGGAAAATGTAGGTCAGATCTAGCATTCAAAGCCAGTCTGGTAGTATGCATCCCTAGATGCGTCATCAGATCAAGTCACCAAAAGGCTTATAGTTACTTGAGGATGAGCATTTTCCAGAACTTTAACCTGGTCACTCATCCAGAAAATATAGGTCAGGTCCAACACCCCCAGCCAATCTGGAAGTGTGCATTCCTAAACTAGGCATCCATCCAAGTTTAGTCCAGGTAGGGCTTACAGTTACTTTGGAATTAACCTGCTCCAAAAACTTTAACTTGGTTACTCATCTGGAAAATGTCAGTCAAATTCAGCTTGCTAAACAAGGCTGGAAATGTACTTTCCTATATGCATTATGCATGTGTAACCATAAGGCTTATAGTAACTTTGGAATGAAACCTGCTCCTAAAACTTTAACTGAATGATCCAAAATTTTAAACTGCTCCAAAATTAAACATTATCTCCCATCCTGGAAATTTGGGTTTTATCCTGCATCCAAAGCAGGTCAAGTAGTGTAAATGCCATCCAAACCTGCTCCTAAAACTTTAACCAGGACACTAACACTGAGGCTAATGTCTGGGGTACATGGGCCATAAGCTCATCTAGACTTCATCAAAGTGAGCTAAAAATCATACACACTACACAGATATACATGTTGATTATAATTATAAGATGTACTGTAGCTAATATATTGATAATACTGAAGGAGTTAGTAGAGAGCATTTTGAAAGTAGTGCCTAAAATAAATTAGTTGTAGTATGAGCTAAAGGTGATGGTATTGTTTTCTTTGCTTTTAAAAGATTGTGAAAGTCACAAGAATGATTCTTCACCCTCTTCATGCAATTTCCAAACACTGTCAGATACCAAGGTCAGAAGAATTTCTCAAATTCAGCAACTTTACATTCCTAGATGTTCACTTTATTGGAATATGAGAATTCAATTATTTTCATACAATTTAAATATTTTCAAAAAATAGTATTTTTGAAATAAAAATTATTACTGTTGAAATAGAAAGTGTAATGCTGCAATCAGGTACTGTATGGTTAAGTTAATTTTCTTATGTATAATTTAGTCCCCCCCCCCCCCCTTTCAGTACCTTCTTTTGCAAGCTTTTGAATTAATGCAAATATAATCAGTTTGTCTTCATCATGGAAATTATCGATACATTTAATAGATTCATTGTTTCTTGAACTTTTGTCTTCACCATTAGTGCAAATACATGTATAGCAAAAAAATTAATATTTTACTTCCCCTGTACATTATTTTCATTTTTTAAATATAGATAATATAGGCCAGTAGGCACAATTACAGATTATAGTTTTCAGCAAGATTGAAAATTCAGCTAGAAATTTGAAATTGTTATTTATCAGCCACAGTATGTTGTTGTTTCTGAAAATTCTACTCTAGCTCAGTAACCAGAGAATATGACATTGTGTCTTTGAATGGAGTTTTAAAACATGTCAATCAATTATTAATAAAAGGAGTTTCATTAATATTGCAATTAAAGTTAAACCCACTCTTTACTAACAAGAAAACTGAGTTCATCCTTTTGTGGAGTCAACCAAAGGGTCAAAAGTGAAAGAAACAATGCTTCTCTTTTTGCTACCAAACATTTTGGCATTTCCAAACAAATTGTTGTGCTCTAAAAAAAAAATTCTTTCAATTTGGGAGTTCCACTGATTTCTTACTTGGGTGCTCAAAAAACAAGATCCAAATGAATTTGTTGTAGCTCTATGGGTAAATATCCCAAAGTAGACCAAGGGACTTAACTTTGAAGGATGTGGATTTATCTTTTCCATATACCTTTCCTTTTTAAAAAAAAGTTTCTTGAATCAGTTACTTTATCAAGAGCACAAAATACCAAAAACTCAGACTGTTATTTTTGTCCTATACAAAATACTAAAAACTCAGATTTTTTTTGTCCTATAAAAAATACCAAAAATCAGACTGCTATTTTTGTCTTATACAATACACCAAAAACTCAAGCGGTTATTTTTGTCCTATACAATATATTAAAAACTCAGATTGTTATTTTTGTCACACGAAATACCGAAAACCCAGACTGCTATTTTTGTCTTACACAAAATACCAAAAAGTCAGACTGTTATTTTTGTCCTATACAATACTCCTCACACGTAGGTTATCCGACAATGTTTGAGTTTAAAGCAGAAAAGTCAATTCCAGTGCACTACAACACCCAAACACTTACGGTGTACAATCTCTGTTTTCTATTTATAAATAACTTGTCACCGTTGGAGTCCATGCTTCGGAATTGTGTATTGTCCCTCATGGAACCTGATGTAAGTCTGGATCCATATACTGTAATTAAAATATAATACTCTGCCCACTATGCGTTCCGAATACAAGTAAATAAAATGTAACTTACTGTGTCCATTCTCTGGACGCGATTGAAAAAGAGGCGGTCGCCATTGGAGTCACTGCTCCGCACATACTGGTTGTCCTGGATGGCAGTTGTAGCGACGCGATTTCCTGGGACTGAAAACCACAAAGATGGAGGCGAGAATACCAGACATTGTCCAACTCGTGCTATAGATTCTGACTAATATTTAGACATACAAAATATATACAGGACATAATATTCTTATCTGTAGGGCACTTGGCATTCAAATGCAACATTTCAGTCCAAGTGAAAATAAATAACAATACATGGCAATTATATTATTTATGTATCCTTAAAAATGATGTATTATTATTATTTTTATATATATATTTTTTGCACCAAGTAAGTAAGGCTAGAAGTCAAAAATGATCATGGTGAGCATCAGTCTATGCGAAAGACATCGGACTGTCGGACCGGACCGATGTGCAGTGCCTCTGGTCCGATGCGTCATTTTTTACACCGGACCAGAATGTCCGATGTCTCAGCGTCCGGTTTTGAGCTTTACTATTTTGATGGGGAGTCATTCAAATGTTTGTTATAAGTAAAAAAAATATCGCACAAATCCAAATACGTAAATGAATTGATTAAAACCGCATGGACCGTCTACAGTAATAAGATTTTCTTGGTTCTGCATTTTCACGTATTTCACTATTTAGGTTAGGTTTTTCGGTCTGACAAAATTTGGTTCAGTCCTGTGTGTTCATTGATTACACAGGACCGAATGTCCTGTATGGTCCAAAAAACTTTCGCATAGACTGGAGCAAGGTGAGGGAGTTGAACCTTTCTCTTAGGTCCCCCCCTCCCAAATCCTGGAATTTGCTTTACAACAAAAAGTGGGGGCCAACCAGCATCTAAAGGAAAATTTACTACAGCAAAATACTTTACTTAGGGGGGAAAAATTAGGAAAGGGGGGCAGCCCCACACACCCCGCTTCTCATGCATTCTAGGTGCCTGTTACTTTTTGGGTCAATTGGCCTTTGAATCATTTATCCAAGTAAGAGTTATCTTTCTTATCAGAGGATCAATCATTCAATGAACCTTAATTCTAAAAAATTTCTTCTAATCTATCATTTATAAAGACTGCATTTAAAGACTAATTTTAAGACCATGTGAATGCACCGACAATATACAGTATATTAAGCAGAAATTTTAATGAGTATTCAATTTCAGCATTATTAGCAAGAGTTTTAGATGTTGCTAAAATTGAATATCGCTAACAATTCATTCCCCACTGGAGATTAATTATCGCTATCTTTCCATGCATCATAAAATCGTTAAAATCACTTCATGCTAATTTAATTCAATACTGATTTTTAAGGACAAATCGCTAAATTTGTGTTTCGCTAAAAATTCTACTTATACTTTGGTAAATTATCAATAAGAAGAAATTATCTATTACCATGACTACTGTCTGTAAGCCAGCCAACATTTTTTACTAGATTTGGCACCAGTTAAAAACTGATCGGCAACTTATAAAATTTGTGATCACATTTCCTACTCAATTAGCTGTTAAGCAACCTTGACTCCACAAGATGGAGTTGTTAGTGCATTAATTGCAGATGTTTCTTGTACATGTACATGTAAATATGAAATTTGTTTACAGTATAGGGTTTATAAATTTGAATACATACTTTATGTGTAAATGTTAAGCATTGCTATATTTGGGTTTATATTTAAGATTATCTAGGACTTGAACATATGCCATTGGGGGAGTCTTTAGTTAAAAATTATCATGATCAAATCTGGGTAGAAGTCAACTGTAGACATTAACTATCATTATGATTTATGCAGATTAATCAAATCTATAAACTATGAATAGTATTATTCAGATTAATAGGGTGCATTACAAAATAATTCTCTGCTGCTAATACTTACTTGTACAGAATTTGAGGTAATCTTTGAGCTCTGTTTCTGTGTAGCTGTCTATTATATTGCGTTCTCTGTATGGTAGCTGGTTATAAGCTGTGTCGTTAAATGCGAACACGGTCATAGTAGTAGGAGATTCATAGAACCTTGTCAGTTGTGCCCGGGTAACCAGCTGCGCAAACTGAAAGATAAAATAATATTCTGTTTAATACAATTTTCCTTTTTAAAACTACCTTAAATTAAGAATTTTTTGCAAGGATTTAATTTCGGCTCTCTTATAAGAGAAAGCATTGAGTTTGCTAATAAATTGATCTCACCAACAATTAATTTGGCTACAGAGATAACATTTATTATTCTAGATATTATGAAATCGCTAAAATTACTTCTCTCTAAAAATATATAGTACCAATTTTACAGATAAATTACCAGATTTGTGTCTTTCCAAAAACTATGCTTATATATGGTAAACTAAGAAATGTAATTTCAGACCTTTTACCCACATTGTTGTCTCTCAGTATTTTTTATTAGATTTGTCAGTGAGATTTGGCATTTGCGCGTAAGATTTCATTTTCCATCGATTTTACATATATTACTTGTGAATACCAAAACATGGTTTAATAACAAGGAAAAAAATCATACTTTGCTTTCTTTCGAGAGGTTTCTATCATTTTTAAACCACCGTGTTTTGGCAACCTGACATCACTTAAGTGTTTGAAATCTTTCTCTTTTTTCAGCAATTAAAAATGTCAAACTGAGAAAGATCATAAGGAAAACTAACTGTGAACGGACTTCTCGATTTCTGTATTTTCATAATAGCAAAGCGTGAGACATATTTTGGGCTCAAAATCTGTACAAAATATGGCGAAATTTTAAGAGTAAACAGGTCCGTAATTTATAACTGCATACACACAATCTCAGCATCTTACTGGGCAAAATTGAGAGAAATGGAATTTTTCTTTGACAGTTTTACAAAGGAAAACATAATTTAGTCATTTATTTTAGTGAGAGTTACCTCTCTTATCAAACGGTTCATGAACCTTAAACTTACATTAATCATGTTAATGATTAAAAATTTGACTTCAATAGGTTTTCTTTTAATACCAGATTTAACAGAAATACCCTGGCAGGACTTTGGAAAAGATCTCAATGGACCAATGTCCATCTTAATAGGATTAATTTGACTCATTCACAGTAACAGCTTTAAAAAAATAAAATGAACAAATTTCAAACAAAACACTAGAAAAAACAAACAGAAAAAAAAAATCAAAATTTGCAAGTCTATATAATATATTGCACATATAATCCTCTTAAGGGTGTCTGCTCATGAGTTGTGTTCTCAAGCTGTCAATACTTGCTAAAGTCGTAAAGAAATAAATTTGAAGATGATCAAGTGTTAAATTGAAACATTTAGGAGTGTTTTATTCCCCTTTATCTGGATATATATGGCTGTCTGATTCAAAACTCTGACCATTTCCCACAGCTCAATTTACTGCCCTGGCTATTATCATGATTATTTGGATTTCAATTGCAATTACCTTAAATATACATCATGTACATTGATCACGTTCATTGTCTGCCTCAGGATAATAAACTTAATTCTTTCTTTATATTATATGTATAAACATTAAACAAGATAAAGATGAAATAAATTTCAGATGTAATATTAATAAATACAATGTCTGAAATGATCTCCATATGGTCATGCTCTATTATTAAATTCTAAAAATTAAAAATCCTAAATTTTAGTAGACAAAGTGTTAAATTCAACATACAGTATCTGATATATACATGATATAGCAACTGGATTTTCATCTAGGTAATTGCATTTCTGAAACTATTTTTGACATAGTGAATTGCACCATAATTATTACCATTTTGATTCATAAATTAAAAATTTTTCTTCCAAATTGGCCAATATTTCAACTTATAACTGTTTTACTGTGTTTGGGAGGAAAAAAAGAGAGACATGCAAACTGCAATCCAAAAATGAAATAGGAGGTCTACAATTGACATGTAACAAAGATTCTGTGAAAGTCTGATTAAATTTTATTCAGTGGTATAGGAGGAGTTGCAGATAAGAGATGAGTACCCCCAAGTGTTATGGAAGGATCTATGGAAGGACAGACACGTACCCCATCATTCTATTACCCCCCCCCCTTTGAAATTAGGGGTACAAGTATAAAAGAAGTTTGTATTTGAATCCTGATGTGAGTGACAAAAGGCTTAATTTCTCAGTAAAATTCAGGAATACTGTCAGTATCACAAAGACTGTTCTCAAATTCTTTGACTTTTAGAAGCAGATTTAAAATAGAGACTCCATGTTTCTTTTACCTATAATATAAGAAGTTTATATATTATATACATATATATATTACATGTATAATATATATATATATAATATATATATATATATATATATATATATATATATATATATATATATATATATATATATATATATATATATATATATATATAGGCAAAAGAAAAAGATTGTCAGTCTTTATTCTAAATTTTTTAATTGGACAAAGGATGACAATTACAATTGCATAACTGGTGTATAATAAGGCATGGCCAATATCCCATAGAGTGAACCTAGTACTTTGGTTATTTAAGCATGTGTTAAATGTTGATTCATGAAACATGTGAAAAGAGGTTTACATGTGCCTAGAAGTGCCTTCCTCATGTTTATATCTGATTCAGATTTCTTGATGCTAGTAAATATAAAGTTTGTCCCATAATACAAGTTTAGTACACATACTATTTATGCCCCCTTTTCAAAGTAAGTAAAAGGTCTTGTAGTACACATAGAGGACTCTTGGTTTTTGACCAGTCCACAATGAAAATCTGTCACTCAAAACCATGAAAACTGTATTAAACGTCAGAGTCACAATTTACATATTATATTGTACATATGAGAGACCCCACACCATTACAAATTGAGTGTTAAAGTCTGGACATATTTATCATGTCACTTAAGCATGAATGTGCATTGCCCTCTGGGTATCCCTACGTTAAAAAACATGTTCATCTTGGTCACTCAGCAATAACGCTTGTCAGAAAGTTCAAAGAAATGACAAGGTTTTCTTGAAATCAATTGAATGTGATGGATGACATTTTATTATGAAAAAACAATTTATGACTATTGTGTATTTTTGAGCAGGATAGCTAATGGATACATGTTAAACATCCCGTACCTGACTTTCACACATTAGTGATATAACACAAGTGATATACGTAAGCTAAATAAGTAAATTCATTGAACATGTGTTGAATTTGCCATTTTTTTGTAATCTTTCAGCAATACTAATTTAAAAGGAAAAGTGTCCTGTACTTAAACAGCTACATGCAAAATCAATGATCTATTGTGTCTCTCTGAATTTTTATTTTTATCCTTGATTTTTCTCAAATTTTGCCCCATATCATTTTCAAAATTTGCTTGAATAACTTATTTTGATTCTTGATCTCCATATTGTCCATCAAAAAAATTTTCATCATCCCAGAAAAATTGCATTTTGTAGTTAACTATAACATGTATATATAAGGACATTTATTTTCCCTAATCATGCTAATTGGGTAAATTCGCAAAGATTATAAATACAGAAAATAAAACTTTACCATCTGGAACTCCAAGGGAAATGACTTAAGGAGATATCCAAGGATTCAAAATATCTAGGTTAAATTTAATACGTAAAGGAAAAGTTGTTGGGACTTGCAACTCACTTTAAAATATCCATGATATTCCACATATTGATATTGGAAAATACATGATTGTACCAAAGTGATCCACTGTATATCACTCACATACATGGTAATTACAAACATCACAAATGATTCAGTCCAACCAAATTCTTACTAGACTATAAGTGTTTTAATTAGGCAATGAGGCTAATCCTTTGGCACACTGGGAGGAAAAGGGGGTGGGTGGGGTTGGCAGCCCTGAGTGACCTCCCATCCACAAAATTTTTTAACACACCCCTTTATTCTACTTGTGAATGTCAAAAATGAAACAACATGAATTATAATCGTGTGTGCGTTTCGGGAAGGGGATCAGTTTTGTTTCAATTGGTTGAAAATGAAAAAAGAAATTGGCAAGCTTTTTTTCATATCTTTCTTAATTGCTGTATATAATTACAATAAATCTTTAGATCTATGCTTTATTTGTGAATATTAAACTATTATATATTCTTCTGAAAAATCCAAGGAATACATGATTAACAAAACATAATGGATTCACATAAAACAATAGATAATCGAATTGACTTCTCCTTTACTCTTAAAGTTGACAGTTGATATGAGCAACATAAATGTAAATCAATATTAAGTTATTAATACACACATTCCTGATAACATGGATAAGACTATGTTAACTCAGTTATAGATAGTAACTAGATCATGTAGATATGACAAATTTTGCTATTTATGTTAATGTGTCATATCACCGTCTATAAACACTGGGGTATTTACCTGTGCAGGAGCATTTTATTATGTTTAAATGTACATGTACTGCATTTAAAATGACTCAATTATTACTGCATATATTAAACTGCTTTTCTCATTTTTTTTTATTGCTCTGCTAGCATGGTTAGCTAACTGTTGAGAATCCTGGATGTACTGATGCATAAAATATCAGGCTGTTTGATTCTAGATAGTTAATTAGTTAGTTGTGAATTAGTTCATTGCTAATTGATCACCTTCTTTATCATAATTAAGTAATTCATAATAAACTTTAACCTTCTACATATATCTTAAAATCTCACTTCTATAGTGCAGTAAGTACCGACATGTATCCCCCCCCCCCCCCCCACTCCTCAATAAGTGCATCATGCATAAGCTAAAACTCCACAGGCATTTTAGTTACCCTATTTTGCAGTTTCCTGTCCCTAGTTTGAGCTTTTCATTGGTAAATTTGAGTTGGCAATACACCTTAATTCACTTCATTATTCTGATGTACTTTCAATAACATTAACATGATTAAGAAAATGCATGACGACCATGCTAATGATTTTGATTGTTATATCTGTTATATGTATCATGTATATTAATCATAAATTGGCTTTAATATCATAAGTTTATCCCTCTGTCACTACCAAAGCATTAATCATGTTGGTTAATAAGACCAACATGAAAAAAAATAATTTGGAGCATAATCCAGATGCATAATTTCTAGTGGTAGATCTGTATTCAAAATTTTGGAACTAAAATCTGTGGTAAAAATGGAATTTCTGTAATCAATCATGGTAATAGTAATTAAACTGTTGCAGAGTTAGAAACTCCCTAAAATTACAACTCGCAAATAATTGCGAGTACCAAGAAAGTGAACTCGCAATTTTATAAGACTACTCGCAATTTTCATATAAAGTTAAATTTACATAAATTAAAAACATGTAACTCAAGGAAAAAGTAACTACTGTACAATACACAAAATACAACTACAGTGTGACTTTTATTTAAATAACTGTTTTAAATCAAAAGCATTGTGTTCTGTCATATTATATAATTTTGCTACAGTTTCAATGCAAAAAAAAAATCAACTCGCAAGTTTTTGCGAGTTACCTAAATTTTAACTCGCAATTTGGGAATTCTAACTCGCGTTTTGCGAGTTGTATATAGTGAATTTCGAACCCTGTGTTGGATGCTTCACCTTGTCCAATACTGATTTCCATTTCACACCCTGGATGACTCTGTTTTTAAGTCACAAATTAACTTACAGTGTAACTATAATAATATACTTTCATCTTATATCAGCTAGGTTAATAATAATTTAATCTTTTGTTGTCAATATTTAACCTCACATACTACAGACATTTTTTTTAATAAATCAAACTTGTTTACTTTCTGTCATAAAAATAAAAGTTGTGTTTAATTAATGAGTCATATGGTATTACCCCATACCAGCTAGAATACTTGTGCACCATAAAAAGGCAAAGTTACATAATGTATCTAAAATTTACACATTTTTTAAACCAAGTATTTACATTAATTTCACTTTCGAGATTTAACAATGTCTGTGTACAAAGTAATGAACGCATAACAGTCTCCAAGTCCCCTAATCTTCATTTACGCAACGTTTTATTTACAAACTTTAACCATACGCCATTTCCTAGTTTGAAATATTACACACCTTGACCTAGTAATACTGAATTTTTTCCCGGGAATGAAAACGCGCAACTTTACCTTAGAAAATCCTGTTGTTCGTTGGAGAATCTGTAGAATATTTCCAGATATAACTTGTCCTTGTACATAATTAACTAGATAAAGTGAAACCAACAGTCCCAAAATCGCTACTCGAGGCTCCATGACTTCACATTTGAAATTGTTTACCTGAACTAAGGGACGCTACTCATGAGCGCTTCCGGGCAGGTGTAAAAACCACAAATTATGAGTGTATTAACCACATGTGTCATGACTAGTATTATATGTATTAAATTCAGTTCAACAAAATTATGTTAAAAAATATTCAATGTTTTACATGTATTACAAATTTATCTCAATTCATTCTCTGTATCACATGTATCTTATTTAAGAAAAGTTGAGGGGGGAGGGGGGGTGTAATCATAATAAGGTTAAAAGATTACCAGATATTCCGTATGAATGTTATTCAAAAAGGAAATCCTTATGCCATACTATATCAAAGGCTTTTGATACATCACGAAACACAATTCAATACGATATTTCCCTTCATCAATACTTTTAATTTAGGATACTCTGGAATGTTTCCACTGAACAATCAGTGACAATTGACTGTCTTAAATGGAACCTTAAACTCATTTCTTTTTTCAATCAATTTTCAACGAAGAATCAAATTATAAGACTAAATACATATCAAACGTTATCAAATTAATAAATAATAAATGAAAGCGAATGTATAGGCACACTGGTAAATTCGGGACATTTTTTGAACGACTGCTGATTTTCTGAGGATTGAATTATCTTAATAAAAACGTTTACAAAAATATATTATCCGATAGTTCGATATATACGCACAGCAAACACCGTAAAAATATCCTACGTGCATGCAGAGCCCCTCCGAGAAATATATATCTGTGAACAGTGCGTGAGGTCAATAAAATCTTATGTGGAGTTCTACTTTATAATACAATGCAACCTTACATATGTCATGTTCTAATTTTTGAATTTACCGCGTGGGATTAATTTATACAAAATTTTAAACAAGACACATACATGCAGGCTGAAGCTCTTGTTAAAAATTCAGACGGCTTGTTTTTAAACCTCTTGTCAAATAAACGATCGAAGCTAAGCATACTTTTCCTGTTACTATCAATACAATTGTAGTATGTTAGTCTGTGATATATATATTTTTATATTATATTTTTGATAATCTCAAGTATGAGAAGGCAAGTTTTTTTTTAATTGAGCAAATAAATAGAAATTGTTGCTTTGAGATCATTTTTTCATTTCTGTTTCTCTGAGAAATTTATCATCTAAAATTTATTTATAAGGAAAAAATTAAGGTAAAATAAAGGAAAGACGCGTTGACCCAATGCCTTGAGAAATCGAGATTATCTTTCATATTACACATTCGTTGCAATATAAGGCTACGTGGTTCACAGTGGCGGATTTAAGGGGGGTGCACCCGGCGCCCCCTTAAATTGTCAAAGTTAGCGTAAATCATAGTTTCGTCGAGAAAATGTAAAAATGTCTACTTGGTAAACCTCATTTTTAGACTACAAAATCTCTAGAATCCAGGAGATTCTGGGGACTTCGCCCCCTGGGCCCCCACTAGGGCTTCGCTCTGAACCCACTGGGAGCCTCTAGGTGGCCCTAAAACCCCTGCCTACTTTCTGCGCCCCCAACTTCAAATCCTGGATCCGCGCTTTGTTCAGATCTAATTTAGAATTTAATTTATATATTTAAGGGTGTATATATTCTGCTGAGATAACTTGAATTCAACCTTTTAATTTCGGTACTATAATTCGACATATTCATGATTTGAAACAAAATAAGAAAGAGAAAAATATGTTAGTGGCAAAATATGGCGATAAACCAGACTTCTTGCCAATGGGCTTTTTTTAGTCAATTATAATGAAAAATTTCTTTCTCTGAAAATTTAAGACCTGGAATTAAACTTTCTTCATGTTTTTAAAGAAGACTATCAAAACAACAAAGAATAAAAATGTAAATAGACAAGAGGCCCATGGGCCACATCGCTCACCTGAGCACACTGGCTAGGAAGAAGCAGAAATCAGTTCAATATTGAAAAGTTTTAAGGGGGAGGGGGCTTAAATTTTCACCATCTCAGGATGCTTTTATATCAATATTACTAATCGTGGCTTTGCTGCTCTTAAACAGAAGAATTTTAAAGATTTTTTTCCCTATGTATTCCTATGTAAAACTCTGATTGCTCATTGTGGCCCCACCCTACCCACCGTAAATTTGAACAAATTTTGAATCTACACTTAAGGATGCTTCTATAATAATATGACTAATCATGGCTTTGCTGTTTCTTGAGCAAAAGATTTTTCAAGATGATTCCTATATATTCTTATGCAAAACTTTGACCCTTTGTTGTGCCCCCAACCCCTGAGGGGTCATTATTTGAACAAACTTGATTCTACAACACCTAAGGATGCTTCTGTATAAATATGACTAAAAATGGTTTCAAAGATTTCAAAGGCATTTCCTATGTAATGATATGATCAGGTTCTTTCAAGGGATATATAGGTTTTCCTTTTACTGTCTTAGCTAATGATTGGAATGATTATTAAGACAGCTCTGTCTGAGGGTATATCACACAGTACTTAAATTTTTTCTTATCAAGAGACGGGGACTGGGAAAGGTACTACTTGCACCGTGTTTCTCCCCTAGGTTCCCATTGATAGTTAAGAACCAGTTGTCTCAATCTTCTTCAGATTTACTACACCCAGAGCTTAACATAAATTCCCTAGGATACTTTCCACTGGTGTTTATAACTTTTATACTTTTATTTTGCTCTTTCCCTTAAGGTTTTCCATCCTCTATCCTTATATGTCCATCACATACATAATACTCCGATATAAATTTAAAGCATTTTACAGTAGAAAGGATTTACCAAGAGAAAGTTTCAAACATATGTAATCAGAAATTACAGAGCTCACCTCAACAAATGTTGTCTTTAAGTAAGGCAAAGTCCCAAACTAATAATCTAGTAGTGTGCATCCCTAGATGTAACATTTATGCAATTTTGGGTCGATAGGGCTTTCAGTTACTTAGGAATGGACTTACCTAAAAACTTAAAACTAGTCACTCATCCAGAAAATGTAAGTCATATCCAGTATCTGAAACACGTTTGAGAGTGTTCATCATGTGGTACATCATCCAGACAAGTTTGGTTCAGATAGCCCTTCTAGCTTACTTTAACCTGGTCACCCATCTGGAAAATGTCGGTCAGATACAGCATCCGAAGCAAGCTTGGTAGTGTGCATCTTTAGATGTGTCACAGCCGTAATTTATTTGTTACTCCTTTTTAATAATAACAATGAAAACAGCTGTTGGGTTCGATTTATATATTTTTCAATTTCATGGTAAGACTAAAAAGATGACCTGTAACAATAACAGTAATGAAAATAAATGAATACACTCTCATACCTATACACTCACAAATTAAATTACTTTAATATATTTTAACTTTTCCAATGTAATTATCTTTAAGTAGATAATTATTTGATAAGATATTTAATTTATTCAAAGCAACGGTGGTAAAAGTTCTTACCGAATAGGCAGTTAAATTGTCCACATAATAAAATGATAGACTTTGTGGAGTAGGAGAGGAATTCTTCCTTACTCCTGGCTGTCCTAGGGTGGAGTGAATTAGTTAGGGTATTTGGCGCCAAGCATGCGCACCTAATACCAAACTAGTAAAACCACTCGCACACTTCTCACTCTAAAATATCAACCAATCATACAACTCCAAGTCTCACCCATTCTGACACAAACACCTTTGACCTTTCACACTCCTAAATCCACCAATGAGCATTCAACCCTATGAATATGAATGAGATATTTTATGAATGAACACATAGTAAATTCCAGAGGACTGTAATTCACTATGCTTTATAGATGAAAATGATGATGAAGATAATGAAATGATGATTAGTGAATAGGTCATTAAATATTCAATCATACATATAATATTTATTAGAATAATAATTTATTCACCCTGTGACAGATGTATCATCCATGCAAGTTTGGTCAATATAGGGCTTATAGTTACTTGGAAATGAGACCTGCTCCAAAACTTTATCCTGGTCACTCATCTGGAAAATGTAGGTCAGATCCAGCATCCGAAGCAAGCGTGGTAGTATGCATTCTTAGATGTATCATCCATGCAAGTTTGGTCAATATAGGGCTTATAGTTACTTGGAAATGAGACCTGCTCCAAAACTTTATCCTGGTCACTCATCTGGAAAATGTAGGTCAGATCCAGCATCCGAAGCAAGCGTGGTAGTATGCATTCTTAGATGTATCATCCATGCAAGTTTGGTCAATATAGGACTTATAGTTACTTGGAAATGAGAACTGCTTCAAAAACTTTCACCTGCTCCCTAGATGTAACATTTATGCAATTTTGGGTCGATAGGGCTTTCAGTTACTTAGGAATGGACTTACCTAAAAACTTGAAACTAGTCACTCATCCAGAAAATGTAAGTCATATTCAGTATCTGAAACACGTTTGAGAGTGTTCATCATGTGGTACATCATCCAGGCAAGTTTGGTTCAGATAGCCCTTCTAGCTTACTTTAACCTGGTCACTCATCTGGAAAATGTAGGTCAGATACAGCATCCGAAGCAAGCTTGGTAGTGTGCATCTTTAGATGTATCATCCATGCAAGTTTGATCAATATAGGGCTTATAGTTACTTGGAAATGAGACCTGCTCCAAAACTTTATCCTGGTCACTCATCTGGAAAATGTAGGTCAGATCCAGCATCCGAAGCAAGCGTGGTAGTATGCATTCTTAGATGTATCATCCATGCAAGTTTGGTTAATATAGGGCTTATAGTTACTTGGAAATGAGACCTGCTTCAAAAACTTTCACCTGCTCTAAGAACTTTAATCTGCTCCAAATAAATTAACCTGGTCACTCTTCAGCTGAAATCAGCATCTGAAATTTTGACAGGAACAATAAATTTAGTGACTCAGGTGACCAAATTTCAAGGTAATAAATTAGGACACATCCCATCCTTACATGCTAATAGTAATAAATGGGAATTATTTATGTCTAAATATACTGTGTATTCAACACCTACCATCTGTTATGTATTCAATTTCATTGAGTCTTTTGCTATTAGGATAGAATACCATAACTTCTTTATTGCTAATTCATCGTCCAAC